TATTGGAGAACTATCGAGAACTAACAAAGAACTAACGATTGGTATATAGATATAATCATTTATAGTCAGAAATCGTTGCCCGATGGAAATTGTATAATCGTGAAGTTAGCATACCCACTTTGTATGCCTCGTATTTTTTTTTTTTACAACTAACGTAAATATTTGAGAACTATCGAGAAGTAACGAAGAACTAACGATTGGTATATAAATATAAGCATTTTTATTTAAAAAACTGTGCCCGCTGGAAATTCTATAATAATTGTGAAGTTGGCGTACCCACTTTTTATGCTTCGTAACTTTTTCATTTTTTGAGAACTAACGCAAATATTGGAGAACAATCGAGAACTAACGAAGAACTAACGATTGGTATATAGATATAGGCATTTATAGTAAAAAAACTGTGCCCGCTGGAAATTCTATAATTGTGAAGTTGGCGTACCCACTTTGAATGCCTCTTATCTTTTTTATTTTTTGAGAACTAACGTAAATATTTGAGAACTATCGAGAACTAACGAAGAACTAACGATTGGTATATAGATATAGGCATTTATAGTCAGTAAACGGTGCCCGCTGGAAATTGTATAGTTGTGAAGTTAGCGTACCCACTTTGTATGCCTCGTAACTTTTTTATTTTTTGAGAACTAACGTAAATATTGGAGAACTATCGAGAACTAACGAAGAACTAACGATTGGTATATAGATATAGGCATTTATAGTAAAAAAACTGTGCCCGCTGGAAATTGTACAATTGTGAAGTTAGCGTACCCACTTTGTATGCCTCATAACTTTTTTTATTTTTTGAGAACTAACGATAAAATTTGGGAACTATCGAGGACTAACGAAGAACTAACGATTGGTATATAGATGTAAACATTTCTCCTCAGAAAACGGCCCGTGCTAGAACCCGGAAGTGTGAAGTTAGCGTACCCACTTATAATCGGCTATAACTTTTTTTATTTTTTGAGAACTAACGAAAAAATTTGGGAACTATCGAGAACTAACGATTGGTATGATCAAAAGTGGATACGCTAATATGGGTACGCCAACTTCACGGACCTCTTGATTGGAACTGTCCAAAAAAATCGGTCAAAGTAAATGTTAAAAATAGTGACAGCAATGGTAACAAGTTGTCCAATAAGGTTAGGTTAAGCAATGAAACTTTGAAATTAAAGGAAGATATGTTATACCAATCATACCTTTTCAAACAAACAGGCAATCTAGCTATTAAGGATTCTTATAAGCAACTCAAAAACAAGTTTAGACTTGAGGTAAGAAATGAGAAGGCTAGCTTAATAAAATCTAAGATAGACTCCTCTCAGAATGTTTCAAAAAGTGCTTGGGCTCTGGTCAATAATCTCAGGTTGACTAATGTAAGTAAAAATGAGTTTGTAAATATTTCTCTGAAAGATAAGGAAAATGTTGTTGTAAATAGCCCTGTATGTGTAAGTAACTTGTTCAATGATTTTTTTGTAAACCCATTTGAGGGTTGTTCTAAAGGCCAAATCACATCTCTGTTGAAACCAAATAGTAGGGATGAGACTCCTATGTGCCCTGTTTACAATTATAGGCTCAAACTTGTTGAAATCAACCATTAAGGCTGCAGAAATGAGTTAAAAGTATTTTTGTGTCTAGATGTGCTCCGGAAACAACCGCAGGTGAAATCGATAGTTTTTTTAAAAATGAAAACATAATTACTAACCTAAAAACTGAAAAACTTGTGACTAAGCTTGATTTTTACTCTAGTTTTAAAGTTAAGGTTCCTGAAAAGGACTTCGAACGGGTCTTAAACCCAGACTTCTGGCCTAGTGGGTTGTTTGTCAAGGAATTTGAGGTACTGAAACCCAGTCATAGGCCGCGCCCTTTAGCCAAGCCTAGATCTGTACCCGAGAGACAGGACTCCGCTAAGGTTGCTAACAATCCTACTTACCCTAGTAGAGTTTTTTTAGGGAATCATTCAACTCGTCAGGTAATTGATGTATTTGATGACAGCCTATCTCATGTAAATATTAAAAGTAGCATAAGAAGAACTTCTAAAAGAAGTTTCTCTGATATAAATGTAAATAGCCTAAAAATGTGTCTAGATACCGAAAGTTGGGAAAATGTTTACTCCTCTAATGATGTAAATGTTAAATGGGAAAATTTTTCTGGTACACTGCAGTGGTACCTTGATTGGAACTGTCCAAAAAAATCGGTCAAAGTAAATGTTAAAAATAGTGACAGCAATGGTAACAAGTTGTCCAATAAGGTTAGGTTAAGCAATGAAACTTTGAAATTAAAGGAAGATATGTTATACCAATCATACCTTTTCAAACAAACAGGCAATCTAGCTTTTAAGGATTCTTATAAGCAACTCAAAAACAAGTTTAGACTTGAGGTAAGAAATGAGAAGGCTAGCTTAATAAAATCTAAGATAGACTCCTCTCAGAATGTTTCAAAAAGTGCTTGGGCTCTGGTCTATAATCTCAGGTTGACTAATGTAAGTAAAAATGAGTTTGTAAATATTTCTCTGAAAGATAAGGAAAATGTTGTTGTAAATAGCCCTGTATGTGTAAGTAACTTGTTCAATGATTTTTTTGTAAACCCATTTGAGGGTTGTTCTAAAGGCCAAATCACATCTCTGTTGAAACCAAATAGTAGGGATGAGACTCCTATGTGCCCTGTGGTAACCTTGGATGAAACATTGCAGCGCTGATCAACGGCCTTACTAACAAACTATCTTGTGGATGGGATGACTTTTCTCCAAAGCTTTTGAAAGATTGTAAATATGAACTTGCTCCTATTTTGTGTCATTTGTTACAATATACAGTTGCTAGTGGTATTTTCCCTGATGTTTTAAAACTAACTGTTGTAAAACCATTGCACAAGAAGGGTCCGAAAGATAATGCTTCCAATTATCGGCCCATCTCTTTGACATCCACTTTCAGTAAGGTTGTGGAGAAACTTATGCTTAAGCACCTAAAAAAGTTCACTACTGAACTTGGCATAATACCTGAATACCAACACGGCTTTAGAGAGAGTAGGAGTACTACCTCGGCTGCTGCAGAATTTGTCCACACTGCCTTGAACAAGTTGGATAGTGGTTGTAAAGTGGCTGGGGTGTGTTTGGATCTCTCTAAAGCCTTTGACAGGGTCAACCATGCAATCCTGGTCAATAGGTTAGTTGAGATTGGCCTCCCTTCTTGGCTGACATTGTTGATTAGCAGCTTTTTAACCAATCGTATTCAGTATACAGAGATTTTTTATGACAATGGTTGGTCATTGGACAATGTCATGTCAGAACAAAAACATGTTGTTTCAGGAGTCCCACAAGGGTCCATTTTGGGCCCTTATCTGTATAACATCTATGTTAGTAATTTTCCTGCTATCAATAAGGTTGAAATTAGTATGTATGCTGACGACACGTCAGGTGTATGCTGGGCTCAGTCTTTTGATGAACTCAAGCAGGGCATGGCCGAATTTGTACATAGAGCCAGCTCATATTTTGAAAATATTAATTTCAAAGTCAACCTAGATAAGACAGAAATTGTAGTTTTCGGATTGAGTAGTACGGGCATTCCTCTGATAGATTTAGTTAAGGATGATGTGATCTTTGAAAGTAAAGAGTGCTGTAAGTTTTTGGGACTATATATAGATCAGACCTTAACTTTTAAGAATCATATATCTCATGTAAGATCTAGACTTTTAAGTGGAATCAGCCTCCTCAGAAGAATATCTTTTTATTTAGATACAGATACGTTAAAAAGAATTTATTTTGGTGTCATATTTCTTTTCTTGTCTTATGGCCTTATTTTCTGGGGAAGTTCTCCCGACTGTAATTTACATACAATTTTTGTTCTCCAGAAAAGAGCAATCAGACTGATAGCCAAAGTATGGTACAAAAGGTCTTGTAAAGATATTTTTGTTAATTTAAATCTCCTCACTTTGTATGGACTATACATTTATCAATTAATTATGCTTGTGAAAAATGATGTAAAGCACACAAATAAAAATAGTCAAATCCACAGGTACAACACGAGACGGAAGGATGATTTTCACCGTGTGAGGAGGAATTTCAACAAAACTGGCAGAAGTCCTTTTGTGATGGGGTCAATTTATTTCAACCTCCTACCAAACAATATAAAGGAATTATAAGGCACTAAATTCAAAATTGCTCTGAAGAATTGGCTAGTTAAAAAAAGACCGTATTCATCAAAAATTTCAGATCTAACCGATTCGGCATAACAATTTGGAAAACTACATTTTGAGTGATCTAAGTTGAGCCCAGGTTTGTACACTAAGAGGTAATATTGTTTTATATACATTGAAATTGTATTCTTTTTTCTTTTATTTTGACATTGGTGACTTTTGTCTATGCATTGTATATATATGTTTATGGACAATAAATGATTTGATTTGAGTTATAATTTGAAACTTCCAAACCATCATAAAAGGTATCACTGAAGGCGTCCTCTGCTCTGCTCTGCACTTTTATGTTTTGAGTAGTTTGCAATGCTAGCCAGTGCAACCACACTCTCTGTGATGTTGCTTTGTAATTATAATAAATTGTAACTCAATAATCAAATAGTAGCTGTTTTGTTTTAGCATTTGCCCAAGAGGTCACTTAGTTAGTAGGATCTTAGTTAGTAGTTTTTCGATCATTCGAAACTGTACCCAGCTTACCTTGGTCATTCAATTATTTTAGGCAAATATGAATTTTTCTATTATGCTGGGGATAGTCCACACGAATACTGATGGTCATTTTTTAATGAGAGCATATATTATGCTTCAGTAAGGTTTTGTTACAGTGTTCATCTAACGCAATGGAAAGGAGAGTATGAGAAGATCTAATTGGCAGCAGATTGTTTCCCGCGATTTCAGCTTACTAGCTAAACAGTTGGACAGCCTGACAACGATGACTTATTTGAGACGTCTAGCGTAATGTCGTGTTTATGTCCTTGTAATATATTTTACTACGATGTACTTACGATTTTCTTTGTCATGTATAGCGATTGTTTTGAAACAATAATAATCATTTAGTTAATCATGACTAAAAGTAGGCAGCCAGGAAAGCCAGCCAAACTGGCAGGCTCTGGTCGAAAACTTGTAAGTGCGTTTAGACCTACATCGGATACTACCCCAGTGGAGGATAACGAATTTACAAAGGCAGCGAAAGAAATCTGTCTTGGTTTGGCTATATTTCGATTCATTTTTGGCCGTGAAGACGAATCTCAGGTTAGTAGATTTACTATTTGGTGCTAAGCTTTTATAAAATAATTTTTACACAGGCTTCACTTACACAATTGGGCTAGTAAGTAGGTAAACTTTGCAACATGGATGACATTGTTTTGTTTACATCAGCCAAACGAAACCAGAGCTTTCAAGGATCTGGCTCCAGTTTTCAAAAGACTTAAAGTGAAATACTTTTAAGTTTACCGTAAAGAGCCTAGAAGAAGTTAATTTGTTGGGATCTAATATTATGCCTTGGCCTCTGATCAATATTTTAGGTTAGCCAATGATGCAATTAACTTAACTTGCTAATCTAGAACTTGTGTCATTATCCATGGTTGTTAGGCATAGTTTTTGCAATAGTATTACCTTAGCATAGCTTGATAGCTACCGCATTGATGTTTGGCACACTAAGTATGCCTACCTTAAATAGGCCTAGGTGAGAGTTATTTTGGCTGCACTTTACTTTAGGTCCTACACTCTTTTGAATAAAAATATCGATCGATTATCGATTTGTTTCATTCGATATATCGTTTGGTTAGTTAGGTATGTTTCATTCGATTTATCGTTTGGTTAGTTAGGTAAGGTTAACCTAACCTAACTAACCAAACGATTTATCGAATGAAACAATCGAATAATCAATATTTTCATTCAAATGAGTGTAGGACCTAAAGTAAAGTGCAGCCGTTATTTTAACCAAAGTATGAGTGTTGTATGAGGGGAGGGGGTTTGTTTCTTTTGGATTTTTTTTATCTAGACAAGCTGTTCCATTAACCAGTGCCATTTATTTATAGCCTAATTTAGGCTATCAAGGACTGCTGGGTCTAAGTATTCCATCTGAAAGCTACCTAAGTTTACCAATTCAGAAAGTTTAATATGTTGTAGGGTAGGTTTTTGCTATTTTACAAGCCCATATTTAACTTTCATCAGGATCAAACTGATGACCTTTTGATTACCATTTAAGGCAAGTAGGCTACTTACTATGACCACTATAGCTACCCAACTAAAAGTCCTAGGTCTACAGTTTAGGTAACATATAACCTAAAACTTAACTTAGGCCTAACTTAAAATCATGTCCATCGTAGGCTTCTGAATCTAAACATAAGGTATTTTTGTATTACCAGGAGGCCACTTGTTTTATTTAAGACAGATTTTTTTTACTTGAGACCAAACTAGCTACATAATTGGAAAGAACATAATTTAATTGACTTAGGCCTACTGTAAAATTTTGACACAATTAAGTTTAGGCCTACAATTATCGACTTTTGAGTTCTGCCTCCCAGAAGGCAGCAATGTCGGCGAGGATTGAGTTGAATGCGTCGCCGCTACCAGCTGGCTCATTTACTCCGCCAAGTAGGTATAGCGTGATGCGGAGGTTATGTTTGGTTGGGTTTCTGTGTTTATGTTTATGTACCGTATGCGGTTATGAGTTTGTAGGACTTTCATTATGTCGTCGTTTCATTATGAATTGAATGATACCAGATGAGTCATCACTCAAGCAGGACACTGATCCAGATATAGGCGGTGACAGGTGATGCGCACGCTCCGATCAATGACCTGACCTTGGCCCACTTGGAGGGGATTTGGTGTGTGAAAGTATGACTCATCTGGTATCGCTTGATTCATAACAATTACGAGGAAAGTCCTACAAACATATTTGTGATAACTCAACCTAACATAACCAAGCAGCGTGCTGCTGCATAAGGGTGGCCTCCGGATAATACAAAAATACCAAATATAGTCTACACGTATAAAACTCAGACATGCGTAGGCCTACCTAATACAAATCAATATAGACTAGGGCCTAAACTTAATTTTCTAAGCTTTGAATTCTCAAGTGAGTGGAATTTTAAGGAATAACTGCTAGGCCTAATTAAGCGTTTAAATTTGATTTTATACAATAAAGTCAAGATGTTTTCTTAATTTTTATCCTGCTGTGTTCACAGTTGCCATGTCTGCAGATAACTTGGCTTAAGTATAGGCTTTCCTGATCGTGTTTAAGTCATAAGATGAAGTTTAGGTGGCGGTAGAAAATATTTTATCACTGTAACTTAATCAAAAATGTTTGTAAGTTAAGTTAGATCAAAGTTAAATCATGGTTACAGTAAAATCAAAGTCCCAGAGGTGAGTGCATTATCTAATTCCTAAATCACCTAACTCTGAGGATAAATGATCTCATTGAAAAAAATAAACAAGACCATAACTTACACTTATTAACTTAAGCCAACACACACAGTTATGATTATTATCCTAAATGAATTTTCTATGTCATTGAAAAGTCTTGGAACCTATAATACCAGTATGTTATTATTTTCTAGAGTCCTCCATTTCACGGATTCAGTCCACACGAGATAAAATTTGCTGCAGATAAATGTTCTATCAGAAGACGACAAGTAGAAAATGAACACAAAGCACGGGGAGTTTTGTTCAACCCATTCATGGTTGGTAAACAACGGACAATACCTTTGTCATCTCCTTTCGGAGGAACTTCTCAAAGTAGGCCTAGTGGTGCAATCAATAAGCAAGTTTGCAAGAGTGAAGATGTAAAACATGTGCCAAAGCCTTCTTCAAACGAGAATATACTCAGGAAGAAAACTCTCAAACATCAAATGCAGAAAGCTGTTAAGTGTCCAGGAAGAAATGGAGAAACTCCCAGTGGAAGCCCCAATCCTATGAGGAGTATTGCGAGAAAATTTGTGTTGCCAGTGCGTAGTGCCCACTCGTCCAGAGTTATCAAGCCCAACAAGAGATTCAGAGACATCGACGATGATACAAGTTCTCATGACTCCAGTGAAGGTATCAGAGTAAAGAAATTGAGAGTTTCTGTCGATACTACTGACGATGATTCCTCCAGCTCTTCGACTGGGAAGAAACGTAAGTTTGCTTGCTCAATTTTATTTTCCTGCCTGCAGGTAGAATAGGCCTTATTATTAGTTAATTTATGTTTTTAGTTCTGGCTAAAGTTATTTAGGTTAAAAAGCTTGGATTATGAAAGCTGTTTTGGTACTTACGTATTAAACGGAGGCCACATTTTGTCAGCGCGCTGCGGCGGTTATGTTAGGTTGGGTTATCGTAAATATTATGTGTGTAGGACTTTCCTCGCTTCGTTATGAATCGAACGATACCAGACGAGTTTCTATTATGATAACCCAACCTAACATAACCGCTGCAGCGCGCTGACAAAATGTGGCCTCCGTTTAATACGTAAGTACCGCTGTTTTTTATGTTACTAAGTTGTTATTTACTAGGCCTTTGATAGCCTACATGATGTAATCTTATGGTCTTGCGTTTGTATTATAATTTGTTTATATTTGTGTTTACCAAGTGTAATAAGGTCCAACAAGTTGCTAGTTGGTTATATAATGCATTTTTTCTAAAATTTTCCTATAGGGTAAGCCTAACTAACAGTAGGATGAAGTGGGGTAAGTGGAACCAGGGGGCAAGTGTAACCGCTGCTTATCAATCAACTGATACCGTATGAGAAGTTTCAGCTTTACAATTGCCATCCTATTGTGTTCTCTGGACCTTGTTTTAAGGTTCTTAACCTTAAAAAGCTAAATAACATATGAAAAATGTACCGGTAACTTGCCCTCAAAATTTTGCCGGTGGGTCAAGTGGAATATTAGAAACAGTTCGAGAAGACGGGGTTTTTTTTTCACTAACTGACCATAATAATAGCCCATGTGCTAGATATAAAAAACTATAGGGCCTACAGTAGCCTACATTTTTCAAGTGAATCATGTGCCCTGAGAGTTATAGTACAACCACACACAATGTAAGTGCTATTTTTTATTATAATTTCCTTGCTATTTTTATAAGATTTTACAATTTTACGTTCCTTTACATTTAAGGCCTACAAAGTTTTCCGCAAAGGTCTATGAAAAAGTTTGTAACTTAAAAACGCATAGAGATATTTTATTAATTCAAAAAGTCCCTGAATTACAGGAAATTTCCCCATTGACCCACTTGCCCTTATTGCTCTCTTAAATGCAATATATTATAATTCAGATGTGGGTGGTTCCACTTGCGCTCCCATGATGGGGCAACTGGAACACAAAACAAAAATTTGTTATTAACTTTATATTTAGAAAAATGTTTTTTTTCTTTTTTTAAGTTAATGTGTCTAAAATGCTAATAGCCTACTGTAGTTGTAGTTAATATGGTACAAAAATGTTCACAAATTACAAGTATAATATTACCTGAGCAATGTAAGGTCAAAGTTACCTGTATGTAACTACTGTATGCTAAAACCTGGTTCCACTTACCCCACTTCACCCTAGCTATTTCTTATAATCGTCATTGAAATACCTAGTTCCAGGACCACTGTTGGCTACTTTTTTGTTTTTTGGTCCCCAGAAGTCAAAACCCCTATTTAATTTGTTTCCGCCCAGGCCCGAAGTTAAATGATTTTCCGATTTTGATGAAACTCTGGATGTGTAAATCAATATTAAGGCTATAGGATGCACCTTTAAAACTCTACTTAATAAGTAGGCCTACTTGTTGAGCTTCGTTCTGAGTAGAATTTGTTGTTTTGAATCTATTTAAGAAATAAAACCAAACTGGAAACTTTGCCTAGTGTTTTAGGATACAGGTTTTAGGATGCAAGCTGGTTATGTTGATATACATTTTTAGGTTACACAATCCTGAAAAATAAAAAAAATAGTCTATATGAATGTAAATAAATGTTCAATTTGATTATAGGTAGGTAGGTAGGTAAGTAGGTAGGTAGGTAGGTAGGTAGGTAGGTAGGTAGGTATTTGATTATAATAGGTAATAGATACTAATAGGTATTTGGTATAATAGGTAATAGGTACAGTTATTTTACAAGGGTGGGTTTGACATAAATTTTATGTACGGTATAGAGAATCTCCTTTGATGCCTTGTGAAGTTGCCAAGGTAATACTTTTTGGAAGAGAGCTTAACCGTATAAGGGATGCTGTTCCTCCAAAAATATATATCCCTGATGATATCAACATTGTTTCAGTGAAAATAATTCAACATTTTCTTCAGGTGATGGATGCTATGTGATAGAAACATAGCTATGCAGCAGAAGAGGTAACTCACAGTCACAGGATGCTCCAATTTCAAATTTTATTAAAATAAGAAATGAAACGCAAACTTTCATTATTCCACTTCATACTGCTAGCACAGTAACTGTCAGCGGTTATTCAATGGATATTTTTGGTCTGGGGATTGAGTGTCCTCGTTGTAGCCTAGGCTCGCAGGTGTAGGACTAACTCTTATCGTCTGTTACAGTTGGAGAGTCTAGTGACGCGGAGAGCATTAGTGGGTGGAGTTCGTCTGTGAGCACTGCAGGCTCCAGTGTGAAGGATGAGGACTTCCAGCCTCGTGCTCGCTCCAAAGTTATCCTGCGTAAGGCCAAACTCAAGGTCAATGAGCCTGAAGCTCCTGCCATCAAAGGTCCTTTTTCTGCAGGTATTTATGTTACTTTTATACCTAAAATCACAATCATCAGTTTGTAAAAGTGAAAAACACAGTATTTTTTAACAGGATACAATTTATGCTATTGTCAAAACTTGATGTGGATTCTGAATAGTTCTAAATGTGTTTAGGTTTTAGCCTATTACAGTAAATGGATAGCTGGGAAGTTATGGGCCTAGTGGTTGCTTAACAGAATTTGCCGGTTCATCCCATAAGTTTAGTCATTAGCTTTTCAATCGTTTGGAAATTTGAATTGGACTTATCTGTAACTAATCATTGGGCTTTAACCATTGATCTTTGCTGAAGACACAGCTGATCTTAGTTTGGTAAATTCAGAGATGAAGTCATATTAAATACGATTTTGTGGTTCCAGGAGGTCCTTTGATCCCGCAGAAAGTGGTTTGTGGCGTGTGTGGAGCCATCCGATTCTATCGCTACTTGAAACAAGCTCGCAAGTTTGGCATCTTCAGCTGTGAACCTTGTAGAAAGTTTATATCGAGAATAATGAACGCCCTATGGATTCGGAAGAACTCAGATGTCAACACTGCTGAAAGATTATCATGCAAATCAGGAACGGGTGGGTAAATTCATACTTGGCTTAACAGGAACGGGTGGGTAAATTCATACTTGGCTTAAAATATCTACTTTGTATGGTTGCCATTTCATCAAAAAGTATTAAATGGTATAGGCTAAACGTACTTACTTGTACAATATGTTTAGTGTGTAATACAGGGTGTCTAGTAGTCGGGAAAATCGGGAAAGTCGGGAATTAGTATTGAATTTCAAAATGGTCTTGAAAAGTCGGGATTTAGTCTTAAATTTGATTTCAAAGTCGGGAATTTTTATGATTTTGCCGCGATCGTCGTCTTCCATTTACGTAACCGCGAAAGCCAATGATGATTGTCCTCACGGCCTCGGGAAATGTTCATGATTTTGCCGCGATCCCGGACGACGACGATGACGTTTCCGTGACCGCGGGAGATGACGATGATGTTTCCGTGACCGCGGGAGATGCCGATGACGTTTCCGTGACCGCGGGAGATGCCGATGACGTTTCCGTGACCGCGGATGATGTCTACACGGCCGCGGGAAATGTCATGATTTTGCCGCGATAGTGGACCTCGACGATGACCTTTCCGTGACCGCTGGGGACGACGATAACGCTACCGTGACCGCGGGAGACGACGATAACGTTTCCGTGACCACGAGAGACGACGATGACGTTTCCGTGACCGCGGGAGACGACGATGATATCTGCTCGGCCGCGGGAAATGTTCATGATTTTGCCGCGATTGCGGATGTCGACGATAACGTTTCCGTGACCGCGGGAGATGACGATGACGTTTCCGTGACCGCGGGATATTACGATGACGTTTCCGTGACCGCGGGAGACGACGGTGATGTCTAAACAGCCGCGGGAAATGTTCATGATTTTGCCGCGAACGCGGACGACGACGATGACGTTTCCGTGACCGCGGGAGATTACGATGACGTTTCCGTGACCGCGGGAGATGACGATGACGTTTCCGTGACCGCGGGAGTCGACGATGATATCTGCTCGGCCGCGGGAAATATTCATGACTTTGTCGCGATCGCGGACGACGACGATTACGTTTCCGTGACCGCGGGAGACGACTATGATGTATACACGGCCGCGGGAAATGTTCATGATTTTGCCGTGATCGCGGACGACAACGATCACGTTTCTGTAACTGCTGCAGTCAATGATGATGTCCTAACTTACGGTACGCGGAAGATTTCATGGTAAAAAAAAAAAATTGTTATTAGAATTTTTTATTGCTGCATTATTTCTTTACTTGAAAACACAACATTATCATAATACTACTTTTATGACAAAGACAAAGTAAATATATTATATATTATATTAAATATATTATATATAAATATATATAAGATAAAAATTGGTATCGGTATCAAGAATCGAGAATCGATACATTTTGGTATCAAAACCCACTAATTGTGGAAAAAACTATAGTCTTGAAAAATCTGGAATTAGTCTTGAAAAGTCTGGAATTTGTCTTGAATTTTATAATGGAAATAAACTAGACACCCTGGTAATATTGTTACCTATACAATATAGAGTCAATACGTTTCCAAAACGCAACTGCAGAAGGCACATGTGAGTAAAATCATGTTAAGCTGTGAGTTACACATTCATTCCTGTGTTAGTACCCAGTTTAAAAGGAAATGTTTTAATGGTTGAATCAAACCACTCGATAGAGGTTGCTGCTGACAGTAACTAACAATAGGCCTATGTTCAATAGTCACCTCTTAACCAAAACAAACTGATAGTGATAGGTCAAGTTATTGTTAACTTTAGCATCTTATAAAGAGTGTCTTGTCATAAGTGTTGAATACAATTATGTTTCAAACTACGTGATATAAGTGATTGAATGATTTCTGTTTGAGGTTCCCAACTCAAACAGCAAGGTGATAAAAGGTAAATGAAGATTTAAAAAAATAACAGTATGTTAGATGCATTTAAGTTTATTGTTGCGACAGCATGCAACTATCTGGGTTATAAACATTAAAAATCCTTACAATTGTTTTATTGTGTATTGTGGTTTTATTATGTACCTGGTGACACTTAATTGTCTGATTTCATATGACTTGTGACTACTCATGTATTTCTTACACTAATCGTATTCACAATCCAACAGGCCATTGCTATCTGCCTCATTACGTAAAGGACCCCGGGACGGGAGCTTATAATGGTCAACGATGTAAAGCGTGTTGGCTCAAAACCTGTCTCCAAACCTACCGCATGCCTCATGAGCTCGCCAGACCACTGTCAGAGTGGCTACCACGATACATGAGAGAGGACGACTCGTCTGAAGTGGTCAGTCTACAGGTAATACTCAGTAGAACTCAATTTATCTTAATCAACTGAAACCGACCCTATCTGGATGGTTGGATTTTTCAAGAATAGGAATTGCCACTAGGCAGTTGACACTTATAGCCCACCAATCAATACAACTCTACAGTAGACTCGTGATGGCGAAATTGGCACACATTAAACTATGTAACAGATTACCGTAAACTGTAATTGCAATTAATTTGTTTTTTCAGGGTGATTTTATTATTTTTATTCTAGAGAGTATCCATGATTAGAGTTCAGACAGAGTTTTACCGTACATGTTACAGTATGTATAGAAAAGTGAAAGGAAATTTAAAATGTGTAACTATGCTATGAGTTGTAGGCTTACTCTTTGGAGGTTTATATTTGTTACGTTTCCAACAACCAGATTTTGCAGTTTGGGTTAGTTTAATTGTTCCAGAAATTTGAGTTTATCTAAAAGAATTGCATAGGTAATTTATGTTTATTTGTGAAAGATATAACTTAATCTAAGATCCTGTTATTTGGAAATGATTGCCAAAGATTTTAAATTATGTCCCTTTATTGATATTGATGTGTTAGCAAACTGATTGTAAATCCCGTCTAAAAAGTGTAACCATTGAGGTTAGTTTCTCACATCAATAGTTAATTAAATTTTAAATTTAAGTAAAGGCATCAAGTTAAGTTCAATTTTCTAGAATCTGCTTGTTGTAACACAGCTATTACTAACCATTGTCTATTGGATACTGAAGTAGACATCCCATCTATATGGACCTGCTGTTGCCAATTTTTATTAAAAAAGAACATAGTTGTGTGAGCTAGTGACAGAATACTCTAGTGACTAAATGAAATTATATTTTCTATCTGATATTTTTTGGTTTCTGATGTATTTGACGGGTCATGACAATTAGCTATAGCTTAGAGTAGGGTCCATGAGTTTGGCTTGGAAAAATGGTTCTTGTATATTCGTCAGACAATAGTAAGATCAGCACAATCTGTTGGTGGCTCAAATTAACTACCACGATTTCGATACAAAAACTGGTGGCAACTTTAACATGGGGATGGAATGTCTAGTTGTATCAATAGTCAAAGCTAATTCTTACTTAGAATTCAATTACCATCAAACATTTTTTATTGCACTTAAGCCTATAGGCCTAATAAATGCTTGCTTGCTTTCCTTTCAATAATTATTTTATTTATTTCAGAAACCAAAGATTGAAATGGACCGAAAAAGAAAACTCGACGGTGATATAGCTAAAATCATTACAAAAAGGGCCTTAAGAACTATAGCAAGAAAGGATGCAGATACAAAAATGAAAACAAAACCTGGACTGACAGTGAATAAAGTTATCAGGAAGATAAACCAGGAGATTAAAGGTAGGGTTTATGCTGTTTTTATTTGGTTTGGGACGAAATCACAAGTTGATACAATTTTAATGTGCTTGTGACAAATTATTTCATGATTAGGCAATTTTACCCTACCTACCTACTTATTTATTGTGAACCAACATTGAAAATTTGATTGTATTTAACAAAAAAATTAATTTGTGTACCAGTTTTACATTTATGGAAACAAGATACAACAGGAGATTAGTACTTGGTAAGATGTTGGGTTCTATCCACTTTAGGTTTATCAATGTTGCCTATTGATATTGGGTGATCTTTCCTTTTGAAAATGATGAAGCTCATTTTATAATAGAAGAAGTAATAAATTGAACTTTTATCCTAAGTTTTTAATTGATGAACATTTTTTGAAAAAAAAAACAGAATTTAAGATATTTTGTGTAAAGAGAAGTATAATAAAATAATAGGCAAGTTGGAGAAAGTTTCCTACATGTTAAAACAAGTTTGAGTTGTTACTGTATGTCTTGAAAGGCCTAGAAAACAATTTGAATTAATTGCGTTTTGGCTTCATGGGACCCTGAAACAATAAATGACAGCTGTCCCATATCTGAATAAAGTTCTTAGATCTAGATCTTACCATTAAGATAATGTTGATGCTTACAATATAAATATAGCCTATAAGGAAATTCATTAAAAATCTGTAAAAGTAAATTAGAAATAATGCTGACAATTTGTTTACTACAGAAAAGAGGCCACGTGGTCGTCCAAGGCTGCATCCTAAACTAGATAAAGATGGCAAACCAGAGGGGAAAGAAGACAAGCTCTCCAGAATTCAACGGAAAAGAGAAGAAAAGCTAGTTAGGCTCCATAAATTGAAAGGGCCGAGAGTCAAGCATGTTTGTAGAAGTGCATCGCTCGTGCTGGGACAACCCGTGGCTACATTCACAGGTGGAGAGATTAGTTTATTTCATTTCCATCTTTTCTCGACATTTTAATAAATAATTTGTAATAATTAGTACTAGCTAAATTTGAGGTGTTATCTAGCGGTTAGCGTCTCAGACTTCAGTGTGATAAAGACAAATTTAATTCCTTGCGAATGCAAATAAATTTGACAGGTGAGCCGCTTTCCCTTAAAAACGTGTGCAATAACTTCATATTCAAAGCAAATCATCAACAAAACTTAATGGGTAAAATCACAGTATAAAGAACTAACCCAGAACTCTCACTGGTCCCTAAAAATCAGTGTATTTGAATTTGCTAGTTTCTACACCTTAACCTTGGAGTGCTGATGTCACTGGCGTGCGGGCTGTATACCAGTTGTGGGACGGTAGGCAAGAGAACTGACATCACTACACTGTTACTATCAGCTGATCATATTTAAGTGAAATTTATTAGTACTTTACCAAAAATCACAGTAGATTCAAACATGTTTTAACTGGCTCAGTGAGGTTTCTGTGTTAGGTCTTTATTCTGCGGTAACATATTTTTTAATGGAAATATCAGCTGTTTCTGTGGTCAGAACATAAACCAACACATATTTAAAGTCTGATGTTTCAAGTCTTCTGATAACCACTAATGTAAATATGTTCAATTTGATTTAAAAATGACACTCAAATGTCCTAAAAACCAATTATTACAGAATTTACTAGGTTACAAAAATTTTACTTCATTATAATAATTCCTCAGAGAAATATGGATCCAAACATTTTAAATTCAGCAGGAAATTACTTTGTATACTTTGTAACAATATTGAAATATACAAATTTATCCCAAAAAACGTCACCATTTATTCTGCTTTCAGACACATCACCGTCTAAACAGAAACAGACCAACTCAGGAAAAGCAACTGACGATGGAACTGCTTCCGTTACGTCTGATCTTTCCAGGAACAGCCGGTAGGAAAAATTCTGCTTGTTAAAAATCTTATGCATTTCAATTACAGTACTCAAAATAAATTTAAATAATAAAATCGCTTAAGATTTGTGTAGAACAATGTCTTCAACTAAAACATCATTTTGATTTATTTATCACTGTGAAAATGTCATTCTATTGTCATTATGTGTTATGATAAAAATAAAACATTTAAGAAATTATTGTCTTTCAGGTCGCTTGAGGATCTGGATGGAAAGAGTTCAGAGTCTGGTTCAAGGATTAGACAACCTTGCAACGATAGTGAAAGTTCAAAGAATAAATCTCTCCCCAAAACCACTGTAAGTTGTTAATCTAAAGTTGGTAATATTGGTGATAGTCCATAAAATGTTGTGTGTGTTATTTTGTGTGTATCTACGCTAGTGGAATTTGTTAAACTATTGAAAGGGAACGGTCCTATCTAACATAAACTTTTTTGTTAGGTAGCATCATTATTTCATAGCCCAATGCCAAATGGCATCTTGGTCTGGAAACATCTCACTTGGAATCGAACCAAGGACCTTCAGATTTGAAGGCGAACACTATAACCACCCGGCTACCCAGAGTATTACTATAAGCATAGTAAAACCATAAAAAAGCCACCCGCTTTTCTCAGGATCGAACCGGCAACCCTCTGTCTGCTAACTCTATCAGTACTCACACCCAGCTATTCATTATTTTCACAGTAAATAAAAGTAGGTTTGCAAGTAAAAAAAAAAAATAAAAATAAACAGTAAATTGATGTGAAATCTTACAAACGTATGCAACTTTTATGAATTAAAAAGAAATGCTAAAAAAAAATACTTAAACAAAATGGGAATGATTATTGCTACTTGCTTTAATTTCTATGCACGTGTCATGCAGACTGTATTTATTGTTGCAGTAATGTTTTTAATTTTTATACCAAATCCCCAATTTTAAATTGTGTTGACATGCACAAAAGATAAGTTGACCAATACAAAATGTTTTCTATTCGTTGGCCTACAGTTTGGGACATTGACTATTGGATACTGAAGTTGTATCAATAGTCAAAGGTTCAAGACTAAAAGATTACACCAAATATTCTGTCGTTTATGATGCTACTTAGCTTACTATTTTTTGAAATGCTGTCCAGCTTACAATTAACTTGAATGTGTTTTTTTTTTACATTATTTTCCATGTGTTTCAGGGAAATAGTGATTCTACCGAAGAAGGCCTATTGGATGGAAAGGTATGTCTTCAAATGGCAGCTATTACAATATTTAGTTATTATAACAATAATTTATGTAGAAAGAGCAACCAAACTATTTAGCAGATCTTTAAAAGAAGGTGTCATTTGATGGGGCTTTGTAATAAAGATTTTTCAAATGCTCTCAAAATACCCTATTTTGGGGCTCGGGAAAGAATTGGTATGTCAACAAAAAGTGCACTTTCATGCCTTATAGAGGTGTGCAGAGTATGACTTTCCCTGTGTAAGCCATAACAGTTAATAGAGGGTGTCCACACTTTAACAACTCTGTATTCTATTTCTTCTATTTTTGTTATTTATGTGAAATTAAATTTTTCAGGCAAGAACTCTGCAAGACCTCTCTCGTCAGCATTATGAATTGGTCAACGGTGAAACTGCTGGGGACGACCTTGGACTCATCTCCATTCACTTCTGGGAGAGTTACGATCCTGAGGAGGTCGGCAGGAATGGCTTTGCTCTGATAGGAATCGGCGATGCTTCCCTCCCGAGTGCAATATGCTTCATTTGTGGCAGCGCGGGATTAGACAAGGTAACTGGGCTTGTTCATTAAACAGTAGTTTTTAAGCTTTACAAATATAGTAGGGCCTACTTATTATTTTGCATATGTGAGTTTGCATTTACGAAAAAAGACACTCCAAATATGACGTTTAAAATAACTTCCTGAACCACGTGATTGCAGCTCATCCATTGTGTGTGCTGCTGTGAGCCGTACCACCAGTACTGTGTGGAGGCTAGTGGCAGCAGTGGCAGTGATGGTGACTGGTGGCAGGTGGACTGGGTGTGTGCCAGGTGTACACTATGTTGTGGCTGTGGACGTGGTGGAGGGTCCCAGGTGGCTTGTCAGAAGTGCCACAAGTCGTACCACACTGAGTGTCTCGCGGCCGACCGTGTGGCTAGCAGACTACACTCTGCAGATAGACCTTGGGTGAGTAAAAAAATATTAAAATCTATCCCTGATAAAAAATATATTTTGCTGTTTTTAACGCAATTGGCTTTTTTATTGTGTGGAGGACTGTCAAAGGTAGGGGTCTGCGGGCCACACTTTTTCACCTCCAGTTTGGTTGGGTTAAGAATGTCCCAATTTCCTCGGGAATAACCTCGGGTCTCGGACTAAAATCGTGTGAGGCCAAAGTTGGAATGCTTAGTCCTACAGTTGATTCATACAATATTCTATATCATATCCTCGATATTGCAATCAAATTTTGATTATCTACTGCAGCATCCAAAATCAAAAACATCTTCCACGGTTACAGCAAAATTGTCAATAATTTATCGTACATTTTCTGCTGTCGTGAAAATAATAGCTTGATCTGACCTGTCCCGAGCATGGCCCGCAAATATCGGAATATGCATACTTTTAGTCCAAAGCCTTTACTATCTAACGCTAACCCTTTGTTAAATAGTCCCTTAACCTCTTTGCGAGTGCATCCTAGACTTCAGGTGTTTTTTTCTAATGTGTCTATTTAAATAATATGATGTTTTTTAGGTGTGCCAATCCTGTCTATGCTGTAAGAGCTGCAACCAGGCAGAAGTGTACAAGTTTGTAGGCAACCTGCCACTGTGTAAGGTCTGCTTCAAGTTGAGACAGAAGGGTAACTTTTGCCCTCTGTGCCAGAGGTGCTATGATGAGAATGACTTCGACACTAAGGTAAAGGTTTGTAAATGTCGCTTGGCCATGCTGTACATAACCCGCAAGCTTAGCTTAGCTAGAAATGCTATGTAAGTAGCTCACTAGTTTTAGTGTACACTTTGGGAGATCAATCAAACTTTCAATTTAATCCAAATTTAATATATTTTCTTTAATCATTTGTGTTAAATGTTGATTCAGATTTAAAGGATGTCAGGGTAGAAGCCTGACCTGAATGGAAAATAGCCAATCCTGCTCACAAAACCCAACCACTTTAGACTTGACAATAGTTAAAATATTTAAACGCCACTGACTGGATTTTCAACGAAGGAAGTTTTTAGTTGGGATGAAATATGTGGTGTTACATTTTTATTCCCTTAAACCTACCTGTCTTGAACATTATCTGTGACAGTAAAATATCTGAATCATCTTATCAATTTTAAAGTTTTTATGTTTTTTTGTACGATCGACCCTTTTCCATTCAGTAAGCCTGTAAAAACCTTGTAGCCTTAAATCAGCCATGAATTCTGTCAACCATGAAAAAATGTGGAATAGGTTGTGAATTATGTGGCTAAACCTTAAAAATAGGAGGAGGTCGATTCTGATTGTTGATTCCTTAAAAAACTTTCTAATTTGGTGACATTGATTCCATACCAATCCCAGAATCTTATTGCAACATCATTGATTTTATAAGCTTTGCAGACAACTTGCTAGCTTCATGACTGCGTGGTTAAATAAAGTTTGGTATGTATAAGTTTTGATTGATCTCTTGACGTTTGGTGATGTGTTTTTGTGCATCTTTCTGCACGACCTGTTGTCATTACTCACATACATGCCTACATTAACATGATATCAAATTACATAAAACAATAACAAAAACCGTAACAAACTCATTAAATTAATGTTTCTTGGGGAGTTTTTGTTTTGCTCATCAAATAGTTTAATAGTCTAAACCTATGTACTAATTTAAGATTAATAAATAATATTTATAAATTGTTGGTACAAATTAACATTACTAGAATTCAATATATGTACCTGTCAAATACTTTGTAAACTAAGTACTTAGTTGTTATAGTTGTTATTAAAATTACAAAATTTCTCTCTCTAATTAAAAATTTACTAATGATGGGTTCAATTTGGATATGAAAATTTCTTATTATCAGCTATATTTATTTTGTTTTTACGCTTAACTTTTAAAGATTAGTAAATTGTCGTTAGTTTTTGTTCCCTTCAAATAATGAAATATTAAATAAACGTTTGTAAGGGGAAGTCAATAAGGAGATGTTCTTCCTCTTTTCTGGTTTTTGGGTATAAATCCCTCATCTCCAACCCAATAATTTTCACTTTTTTCGCACTAACTTCGAGCGGGAATGGTATCATTGCACTTTCTCACTATTTGGCATCATTGATGCTTTAAACTTGTATGGTGGTTTTGGTACCATCTAAACAACTACTTATGGGGAACGAGCTAGTCTAGTGGTAGAGCGAGGTAGAGTGTATGGGGCGTTTGGAGCCCATGGTCCTGGGTTCAAATCCCGCCAATCGCCAATGGATTTTATCTATGTGATAATGCCGCGACCCTCTGGACTAGCTTAAAGCAATGTGTAAAACAGTTCCGGGCTAGAACCTAGCATCCTAGGATGTAAAGGCGTGACATAAAAAAATAATAATTAGGTACTTACTTATAAAAAGTACTAAAAATCTAAATTCAAATATATTTTTAATGTTCATTGTTTTGTTTGTGGTGTTTTGTCTTGTATTGTAAATAATCACAAAGCTGTAGATAAGTTATTTTAGTATTTTAGCAAATTTTCAGCAGGTAAAGAATAATTTAGCGTAGTCTTATCAATAAATAGCTTTGAGTGCTTTAGTTGCCAAGTATTTTTGAGTGTTATTATCAAGTTAGCAGTTTGTGTTTTAAAGTATGGAATTAAACTTAAATTGTAATTGTAAAATGTATTTGATTAAAATAAAAAACAGTAGGCCTATTCAAAATGTAAAAAAACTATTAATTAAAAATATTAGAGTCAGTTTATTGAAAAGTGGCATTATTCTGTATAATTGGTTATAAGAGTTTTATAAGTTTTGTAGAACTGTATTTGATACGATTTTGAGTGTGAAGTAGTGTTTGGTTTGATTTTAAATATCCGTTTGGTTGGATAAAAAAAAGTGTGTTAAATAATAAGATAGTTTTTAAAAGAAACATCTTTGTATAATATTTTGTCTCTGATGCTTGTAAAGATTTTTATATTTACTTTAGTAGAGAGTTGTTGATATTAAGATATACTGATCTCGCTACCAATACTACTTATATTTCTTACAGAATTTTCTTTCTGAAATTTTCTTCTGGATTGGTTATAATATGCCAACCCTGCTTTTTATCTTTACACAAAGTAAATTTGGGGGATTGGGGTGTTTTTGAAGTGAAGTAAAAATTAAACATACAATAATAAATTGTAATTAGCCAATTCAAATTTTACCTGGAAACATCCATCACTGTCTCCGTGATCAAGGCAGAATCCTAAATAGCACAAGGGGAAAAAATATGAATCTCAGAAAGATCATCTTCGTCTCTCGCAATGGTGGCAAAATCCCGAATATCTTGGTCACAGAAACATCATTGCCTACCCCAATTTCAGCAAACCACTGAATGTTCCCTGACATAACGGACATAACTCACTATTGTCTTTGGTCATTGTAGAAAAATTCTGATAATCTTGAATGGTCATTTAAACATTATTATAGATTCTCACCATTGCGGCTTCATTTAGATCACCTCCTGCATGGTCACGATATCATCATTGTCTTCCATGAACAATTGCTGCAAACCACTGAATATTCCCCTCCAAAAAGGAAACATCACCATTATCTTTTGCAATCGTGGCAAAATTCTTATACTGCGGTCACTAAAACTTCATAATCTAAATCAACTCCCACAGTAGCGGCAAGATCCAGATCACTTCCTGCACGGTCACGAAATCATCATCGTCTTCCATGATCACTGTCATATCACGAACATCTCTCACAGTTTTGTGAACATTAATGCCATCTTCTGTGATCAAGTCGAAATTCTGATTGTCTCCTGAAAGGGTGTCTCCCACGGTCACCAAAATGTGTTTGACGTTAACTCCAATTGTGGCAAAAGCGTTTAATTTTTTTATCACAAAAATCTTTGCAGACGTGTCAGATATCGACATTATCTCTTGGCGATCAATTCTGGATACCGTACCATTGTCCAAGAATCTGTGGTATAGAGCATTGACACAGCCTTAATACTTAGGGCTCAAAAATGAAAAACATACCACGATGGTTAAGATAGTTGCTTTCATCATATAGTATCTTATTGTTTTTTGGATTTGTTAGAAAACCTATATTGATGTAGTGCCACAATATTTTCTCCAATTTTTATGACTGTTTTGCCTCTTAGATGATGGAGTGTGAACGCTGCAAATGTTGGGTGCACGCTAAGTGCGAGGGCCTGTCAAACGAGAAATACAACATACTCAGTATCCTGCCTGATAGTGTTGAGTTTGTGTGCAAGTAAGTCGAGTTCAGACTTTAAACTTCTATTGAAGAGTAATTATTATTTGCCATAGTGTATTAAGAGTTTTCAGCTTTCCAACAATTATTTTGAATAAGATAAAACTTATAATTTTGAAATTCTGTTGTCTACAACATTTTTTCTCAAGCTGGTAAAATTCTTTCTGACTTTGACCTTACTAATCGTAATCTTATCTCCAGGATGTGTTGCAAAATGCCTCCTGCACCTTGGTGGCTGGCTGTAGAAACAGAAATGAAGGCAGGATTTCTGGCAGTTTTGAAATCCCTCAGCAAAAACCGTAAAGCTTGTGACCTCCTCAAGTGTAGTCCAACGAAAATGCCATATCCAGTAAGTTTTATTCTAGAATAACAATCTTTGAGAAATGATAGACCCAATATTTATAGGGATGATAAAGTAATTGTTGAAATGTTGACATTTTTAATTAATTTAAAACCAGTATAATTTTCTTATTGAAAACATTGAATGAATCAGGTGAAAGCTGTCAATATCCGTAAAATTGTTGTACACAGGCTGGGGATCGAATCCATCCCTCTGCACAGAAGTCAGAGACATTAACCACAAGGTTAGCAACACACTCAACTTTCATTAATCTAAAAGAAAGTAAAATCAGTTTAAAAATAACTTATAGTTTGACAAATGAAAAAAAAATAGTTAAATTGTTTTGTCTTGTAATGTAAATTACAATGACTGAAAATAAAATTTAAAAAAATATCCTCATTGACAATGTTTGTTGTAGGTTTGTAATTGCGGAGTTGGAGCTCGACAGAGGACCGTGTTGAGGTTCCCGGACATTAGTGAACAGTCTGACGCCGAATCCTCAGAGAAACTGCAAAGTGAGAGTCAAAAGGAAGAAACCTTGAAAAGTGAAGAGGAGTGCCTTAAAAGTCTACCAACCTTTTCTGCGGAAAACGCCGAAAGTCTAGCCTGTGATCCAAAAAATGAAACCTCAGAAAAGCAATTGAATTTATGTGATACAAGGACAAAGTTTAGTGCAGCTGATGGTTCAATGATTGCCAAAAGCGGTGAGCTACAACTGAAACTGGACAGTGACACTATCAGTTACCAGAACGGAGAGGAGAAGCCATCTCAGTTCTCTCCTCATGCGACCTCTCAAAGTGATTCAGGTAAATAAAGTTTTTAGTTTACTTGAGCAACGTCTCTACACATTGAAAACACTGAAAGAAAGCATACTGTAGTTATTCTTCATAATTTTTTAATAGTCTTTTTGCATTTATCAATACCAATTTTGTTCTTTAACATATTTTAGTCAAATAATTCTCCTTAATCAAATTTGGTTAGTCAGTGATTTTAAACTTTTTTTCTACCACAAACCTTAAAACCGTAAAAATTGGATGATGTAGCCTACAATTTTGTTTCAGGTTTAGCTTGAATTTAAAAGATTAATTTTTTGCTTGGTGTCAAGTAGTTTTACCGTGTGATTATATTGTAGAGAATGATATTTGACAAAAGAGTTTTTTTAATACTATTAAAAATTGATGAAGATATGTACTTTTTTATTAATGTTGAAATTTGTTTTTTAGGGATTGGAAGCACTGATGATGAACTTAAATCAACAAATGACCAATGTATCTGCCTGGAGCTAGAGTCTTGCAACAAAACTCCCGTGTCACTGCTCACCATTAAAAAGAAAGTTAACTCAAACGATTATGATTCCTTGGATTGTTTCAACAAAGACATGGAGGAAATGATGACAATAATCCACAATGAAGAGTTGTTAAAAATTTATTATCAAACACTAGAAGATATATTTCCTTGGTTCAATCCTAAAGGCACTGATGTACCTGATCCCACAACAAGAATAAATCATCCTTCAGAAACCACAAAAAATGTTGAAACGGTTCCAGACAAAAAACCTGATGAAATAGTCCTGGAAGATGTTAGTGTTACGCTAAAGGGAAAACTTAATTTGACCTCTGACTATTACTACAACTTAGATAAATCGGTGGATAATCGAATGTGTGTTCTTTGTAAGCAACTGGGCGAAGGAAAAACAACTGAAGAAGGAAGGCTTCTGTATTGTGGCCAGAATGATTGGGTTCACACAAACTGTGCTTTATGGTCCAGTGAGGTTTTTGAAGAAATAGATGGATCCCTCCAAAATGTACAAAGTGCTGTTTCCAGGAGCAGACACATACGATGCTCCCATTGTTCAAAGAAAGGTGCCAGTGTCGGTTGTTGCAATAGAACATGTCCTGAAGCTTATCATTTCCCATGTGCCAGGGAAGGTGACTGTGTTTTTTATGAAGACAAGTCATTGTTTTGTGCCAACCATAAAAATGATACTGTTTCTTCCAGACTCTTAACCGCTGGACCAGACTTTCTTGTGTCACGCCCTGTTTATGTTGAGCTAGAAAAGAAGAAGAAGAAAAGTGTTCCGAGACAAAGTATAAAATTGGTGATCGGTTCTTTGACCATCAGCAGCCTTGGAGACTTCAACGCTGATTTGTCAGACCAGGAATCTTCGATTATACCATGCAATTTTCAGTGTACACGTTTATTTTGGTCTTCCGTTGAACCTTGGAGATTGGTGCAGTACCACATTAGAACAAAGATTGTTTATACTTGTGAAACATCCCTGGAGGATGAAAATTATACCATTGATCATTCATTTGAAGAAAATTGTGTGAGTGGAGATGAAGATTTCAGTCTAAATATGGAAATTGAAAATGATACATGTACAGTGAATGAAGATGTATGTATGGAGAAAGAAATTAAGATTGAAGAAACTCTCTTTGAGGTTGATGAAAATGAAGTTAAAGAAACTTTGGACCTCATCATTGACAATGTTTGCATCAAGGAAGAAGATGATCCGCAGGCATCAGATGACCTGCTCCCTCCCGACCTTGAAGAAGCTCTTTTTATGGATCTTCCTCATGATTTAATTGATGGAATATCAATGCAAGATATTTTTCCTAAATTAATGAATTTTGAGCCATCTAATTTGGAATTCAAGCCAGAAAAAGAATGTAAACCCATTATTAAAACAAATCCTAGCATTCAGAGCTCTGGTAAAGTAAATATAAACTATGATCTCTTCCCAAATATTTTTGAAAGCAAAGTTAGTTTGAAAAGAATAGAGTTGAAAGAGAAATGTGAAGTTCAGCCTGATGGCTTGCCGCCGAGAAAACTTAGGTCACGCAGTACAGATAAAAAGAAGATTGACAAATCTGAAGGCAAAGAGAACTCCAAAAAATTTAGCTTGTCAAAAATTCTACAAATTGATGGTGCGGGGGATGAAAGTAGTGATGCAGATTCTTTATCTGATGAGATATCATCTCCGCCAAGTTTGCAGACTCAAAGACTCAATTGCAGACCACAATTGTCTAAACAAGACTCATATCTAATAAACGCCAAAGATGATTATATCAGTTGTAGTAGTGATTGTAGCAGTCCTGAAAGAGATCTTAAAGATGGGTGGAAACTCAGTCAGTTAGATGGAGTCACAGATTTTTGTACGGTAAAAGATAAATCTGAAGATGAAAATCCAGTAAAGTGTGCTCGATGCCACAGGACATACCGCACTGCACAAAGTTTGGAACGGCACTTGCAAACTTGTAATGTAGACTTTCTCTCATGCAGTGAAAGTGATTCTAGTGAAGAAGAGAAAACCAACTCGCCAGAAGCAAAACTAGAGATTGTAGGGAATTCAAATTCAAATTTTCCAACGAAAATTCCTGAATTGAAATCAAATGTAGTGGAAATTGATACAGATAATAATCAACACCAAAGATCCTCCGACTTTGACGAAAAAACCAAACTTGCAGTTGAGTCACAGGAACTATCCTCTTTGTACAGTAAAAACTTGGTAAACCCACCTATTACCATCACACCACCATCTAGTCAAACATATTCATCAAGTTTTGAAACCGCAATTCCTAACTGCTCTGTAGTTCTAAACAAAATAGATGACTCATCAATTTTTGGAACTGCAATTCCTAATTGTTCTGTAGTTGGAACTGCAATTCCTAATTGTTCTGCAGTTGGAACTGCAATTCCTAATTGTTCTGCAGTTGGAACTGCTATTCCTAATTGTTCTGCAGTTGGAACCGCAATTCCTAATTGTTCTGCAGTTGGAACCGCAATTCCTAATTGTTCTGCAGTTGAAACTGTAACTCCTAATTGTTCTGTAGTTCTAAACAAAATAGATGACTATCACACATATCCTGCCAAACAAAAAATTATGAGACCTTCTTACGAATGTGAGGATACCCTCTTAACAGTTAGTCCAGCTTGTGGCAGGACTTCTCCTGTTAGAATTCGACCGGTTAGCAGGAAGACATACAGCAGGAGGAAACCAGATTGTACTTCGACTACAATGAGTCTTGTACAGCCAAAAACAGTAGAATATCAAATATCCAATCCTCCTGCGCTCATCATTCATCAAGTACCGTCTCATAATGTCGTGCCATCGTACATTGAAAACTTACAGACACAACCAGCTGTCCAGGCCAATAATATCCAATACCAATACATCACAACCCTGGACATGCAAGAAAAACCGCAACAGATTCCTGTGACATTACAAATACAGCCTCAGATCAGCCTGCAACCTGTGATAGCTCCTACTGTGCTTGGTACGCTGATACAACCCAACGGAGTGGAGCAACTGGTAGTGAATGCTCCAGATCAACAATCAACAATGGTTATCAATCAGCAACCTACCAATGTTTACCTCACCAATGTCAACCCTCAGCCTGTGTACATGGGTATGGAGACGGTTATCAGCAACACGGTCATGTCCACGAGTCAGTTTGTGTCTGGAGTAATAACAGGCAGCAGCTACTCGGCAACCACTACACAAGTCTTCCAAACAGCAAAACCTGTCATAGACGTACCTCAGAGCTACGTGGTGGTCAATACACCACCAAATCCCGTACAGAACAATGTTCAAACTGTCTACCCTCCATCAGATTCTCAACCTTGGACGTACAACTATCAGGAAACCTACAAGGTCAAAGAGCGCACCACTTATCAACAGGTAACGAGACAAGTCACACAGGAAGATTTGAACAGCATGAAAATGGTGAACTCGGCTCAAGACTCCATTTTCATCAATAAGCCTGTTGTCCAAGAGGTGACAGTCGAGAAGACGCACAGCATACAGAAAACAGTCCCATTGCCTGGGTTGCCTTACTCCTTTAGCAACGTTAATTCAGCATCAATAAATAATCACTTAGATAATACTCAGTATTCTCATGAAAAGGTTGTTTTTAATAACCACTCTTTGACAAACTGCTCTTCAAATTTCTGGAATGAACAAAGAACTCCGAAAATTATGGAAATAAGTGATGAACAAGAAAAGATGTTAGTTCCTTCCTTGAGAACTAATGAATTGAGCTCGCAGATGAATCAATCTATTCAACAACCAATGTTTGATGGAACCACCTGTAAAAATATCAACATTAGTCAACCAGTTCAAAAAGAAAGAAATTTGATTAAACCTGTCATTAATTCAGTAGATAGTATCAACGTTAGTAAACCCGCATTAATCATAAGAAAGTCACCAATTAAGCCTGTCATAACAAAAGTAAAAGCTAGTTCTAAAGAGAAGACAAATAGCTGTAACGTCTTTTACGTGAATTCCCCACTAACGAATCTAAATCTGTCAAATGATAAACAACCCCCATGTACAACAATTGCAAAACCTGATACTGTCAAATCTGAACCATTACTGGAAAAAATTGAGCCTATTATGAATAACACTAAAACTACTAAACAAGAAAACACAGTTGTCAACACCAAAAGCAAAGCAGTCCAGAAAAGGCTTCCTTTAAAAGAAAACAAAGTGGTTGGAAATAAGCAGAAACCCTGCAAAATTAGTAAGAAAAGTTCCTCAGTAGCTAACATGGCTCATCCCAAGTTAATGTACGAGATTACATCACAAGATGGAGTTTCCATATGTTCTCAAGACGTGGAAGACGCTTGGCAGAAGATATTTGATGCTGTGCAAGAGGGAAGATCGAAAAAGCGGTTGCCTCCTTTGCCTCGCAACTCCCAGAAGTCGTACGCGGAAATACTCGGGCTCGAAAACAACAGTGTGAAATTCTTACTGGAACAATTACCGGGTGTGAAGAGCTGTACCAAGTACAAACCTGTGTATCACAAGACAAAGCTGTTTGGGCACAGTGAAGTGCTGCGAGAGAACCCAACTGGCTGTGCTCGTACTGAGCCTATTTCTAACAAGAAGAGAAAATACGACATGTTCAGCTGGCTGGCATCAAGACACAGGCAACCTCCAAAGCTTATTATTAGCACTGAGGCGGAAATCATCAATGGAATCAGGTAATTGTTTAATATATTATTTCTCTAACTCTTATAAAGCTTACATTATCTTTACTAAAAGTCTCCTGTTTACGAATAGTAATGTTACTGATCTGGCCAAGGCTATAAAAGTGTCAACAAGTTTTACAAATTTTAAAATATATAGCCAAGTTAACACGAAGCCAGTTGGCGGGCAGGCTCTTTGCCTCAGGTAACTTGAATTAAACCAGAGGCACATAACCTGCCTCAACCAGCCTGCTCTACTGGCCTTGTGTAAACACGGCTTTAAAGATACAATTTCTGACTTTATCTGACACTTAAAGCCAGCTGTGGAGTTTTCATACACATTTCCTGTTCCTCAATTTATTATTACGTAAATCTTTATTTCGAACTATTGACGTAACGCAACTTTATGATTCTATTGCTAAATAAGCTATGCTTTTTTCTTTCTTTTTTGAGCTAGGCTACATAATAATGCTTAGTTAGGAAAATAATTTTACGTTTCTAAAGACCAATAATTTTACGTAACTACCATCTAGGCCTACTTCTGAAGAAGCCTCTGAAAGAGGCGAAATATTAAGTATATTATGTGTGTGATTTTATGTGTTCTTTGACTCATCTGCAACCTTTCATCAGGTGAGTTAGCTGTGTCCTCTCCATCCTATATTTATTTATTTATGTTAAATTTAGTATTTCTTTATTTGGTAGGATATGGAGAAGGAGAAAGAATAAGCATTTTTTGAGTTTTTCAAGTTTTGGTGGAATTTTTTGTTTTGCAGCCTCCTAAAACTCTATTGATTGGTTTTGTTTGTCGTTTAAGTGATGTGAAGGCTTGGTTTTCATAAAATTTGACGTCTTGGTACCAAACCACAAATCTCCAGGCACTTCTAGAATCATTATTGACATTTACCCATTAAGGTTACCCATTAAATGGCATACAAACAAAATTTTCTCAACAGCAGCAAATTTAGTTTTATAGTTCTTCTCATCGTTGGATCCACTGGATATTGATAATTTATATGGACTAATAAATTTTATATTTCAATTCATTTTTTGCTATATGGTTCAGTGAACAAACCCTTGTTCTCAAAAATGTCTGGCCGCTTAGAGCTGAAGGGAAGAAAGACAGTGTCAGTTTCTGATGCCTGTAACTTTTCTGAGGCATTCTAAAAGACTTAATAATTATGTGTGTTTCCAACAGTCGCCGAGCCACCAGTACAAGTCTGCCGATGGCCATGAGGTTCCGCCACCTGAAGGAGACTTCCAAGGAGGCTGTCGGAGTGTTCCGCTCAGACATACACGGTCGGGGGCTGTTCTGCCTCCGAGACATCGACGGTGGTGAAATGGTCATCGAGTATGCTGGAGAGGTAAGATCATTTTTACCAATGCCTAAAATACTACAGACATTTGAGCTGTTCGGTTTGAAAAAATAAATGTAACTTATTTCAGTTCCAGTTAGGGTTGTATTCTGCTTTTTCCTAATTTCTATTTTTTTATCACTCAGATTATTAGATTAGGGTTAATATTTTTGTTCTATTTTGACGGGTTTTAGCGAACTTCCCTATAGAGAAGTAGCTACAGTATTACCACAGGTGGCATGGTAAGACCTAGGCCCGGGACCGACTTACTTTATCATTTTGATGTCCCCAGAGGCCAAAAATACCAATCGTTCAAATTTTTCATATATGTATATATATATATGTGTCCGTGAACGCGATAACTTGAATAATTTTTGTCCGATTTTGATGAAATTTGGTTTAAAGGTGTAAGGCGGGATAAACTTGAATTAGTTCGCGAACCAGCATGATCGGACCATGGGAACGGGGTTTTATGGGGTAAAAATTGGCTTTTCTTATTTTGACCCTCAAAACTTAAAACTTCTCAATTTCTCTCGAGACCTTTTTAAAGAGGTTAAAAAAACAAACAATTTAGTATACCAAAGTGTTTTTGTACAAATTGGTAACGGAGAAAATTCAACAAATTTTAAATTTAAAATTCCCATGTTATTCTTATGGAGAATATTGTAAAATGATGTACTTCGCCTGTAAATGGATATATTTTGATCGAACTTGGCAATTTTATTTATTTTATACTAGCCTAAGCTATTAATATTTTACTAAAAAACACCGTTTATTAGTTTCCTAGTAGCAGCAAACCTAGGTACTTGTTAAACCTAATGTTATTTAGATAGGTTTAATAGAAAATTAATTCAGACAAATGAAAATTCGCTTAGTCAGCAGGTTTGTTGCAGCGGGGGTATTTATGGTTTTTATATCACCGCAGTGTTATCAGTGGTATATAAACAATTGTTGCTAAAGTTCTACGAGTTAAAGCCACCAATGTAGGAAAATTGGCTGTTGCTATGACCAAATGAATGCATTTAAGTGACAGTAGTATTCAATGGTAGGCCTATATTTGGTTCACAGAAACAGAATGGCTATTTTGAATATTTAAAGTCAATGGTGCATCAGCCTAATTACGGCGACCCTAATTATTGGTTATTCATTTTGTAGTAAATTATGCTCAATGATATTAATCCAATTGTTCATCCCTTTTTCCATCAAAGCAAAATTTTTACTAACAAACAAACAAGATTGTTACTAATAATATAATAAAACGACAAAATAAATTAAATGTAACTAATTTAATTTATAACTAATTTACTAGTTAACTTATCTAATTAACTAATTAATTACTTACATTTCCAACAGAAATTAAACATTTAAGAATTGTAAAATATTCATTTAATGTTTCAAATCATTGTTCAGTAAATGTTTGATGAGCTTAGAAATTAAACATTAGATATCAATTTGATTATTTTTGTATTTTTGAAGAGGAATGTGTGCGTTGCGTAACGGTGATTCAAACCCCCCCCCCTCCACCATATAACACAGCGTAATGCTATGCCATACCCCCTCCCCCTCCTTAAGTGTGTTACCTTATATGTGTATGGCCCCGAAATACATGCAAGTGTTTCACATTTCTACACAAATCTATGACAGAACCAACTGTAATAAAACAAAAACATTTAAAATCGTATTATTTTGATGTGTTGCATTTAAATACTAAAATTCATGAAGTTTATCACCAAGCTAAACAATGTGTTGTGCAGGTGATTAGAGCTGGACTGACAGATAAGAGAGAACACTACTACACTTCCAAGGGCATCGGATGTTACATGTTCCGCATCGATGACCATTTTGTAGTCGATGCAACGATGCACGGCAACGCGGCAAGGTTCATCAACCATTCCTGTGAGGTATGTTGGAACTATTTCAACAAATTTCAGGTACAACAACTTAGGAAAAAGAAAAGTGGCTGGTTTTGGAAAGAAATTAAATTGGAAAGTTATAACCAAGAGGCTCTTAGATACACAAACTATTTACCTAACTTAAAACCGAAGATTTGTCCTTGTATATTGGGGGGGGGGGGGGGGGGGCGAATTTTAGTTGTCTAGTGGTAGAGCGCAGTACTTCAGTCCCTGAGGTCCTAGGTTCAAACCCTGCCAAATCACCAATGGATTTTTTTGTAGTGATAATACTGCAACCCCTAAGTCTAGCCTGAAGCAATGTGAAAAACGATCCCGGATTTTAATGCACCTTTATACACTTTATAAATACACAGATTTCTATAAAAATTACCTGTATTAGCTGTTTCATTAACTGCAGCTACAAAAAAGGTGCAGCTCACAATAACATGGGTACTTTGAAGGGCTGTAGGGCGGAAACTAGATTTTTCCCAGCCTTTTGACCAACTTTTATTTTCATCCTCGGACGAAAATAAAGGTTTTTCCATATTAGATTCCCCTTGTTGTTGTAGATTGGCCTTGTTTTAGATTATAGGATAGAACTTCTTCAGAGTGCAGACAAATAGGAAACTTTTTTTGATAAAATTCATAGTTTATATTTTTTTTTTTTTATTCACACAAACCAAATCGTATCATCCAATTTCTAAAACATAGCAATAAACTTGTAAATGTTTTAACAAAACTTGTCTGAATCAACCACAAGTAAGTCAGCAAAATGTTCCATACATTTTGTGTATTTCCTTTTTATTTATCAGTGATAATACTGTACTTCATGATACTCTTTCTTTGTAGCAACATTTTCCATCCCTATTGTTCCAACACCTAATCCTAATCCTCCGATTGTGGTGTTACATCATGATCATTGACACTGATATTGTGGTAATGTGGTAATTTTTCTTCCTCATTATTTGCATTACAACATTGTCACCTTCCCTCGCTTTCCATTTACCCAGCTGTTTGTGCTGCTTTCAAAATGTTGTTCAAAATTTGTTATAACCTCTTTGGCAACCAACTTTGAGAAATACTTGAAATATACCAAAATGTTTGTGTCTTGTACATATAGTTTATATTCTGGAGTATGTAATAGTACTCTGTGTGCTTGTTTAAAAACTTGGTAAGTAGCACTGCGTGTTAAACTTTATATAATTTTGATTTAAAGATTAGTATACATAGAATTATTGTTTGAAAAAAAACCACAATGTTAATTAAGTTGAATTATTCTGTTTCAGCCAAACTGCTACTCCAAAGTGGTTGACATCCTTGGAAAGAAACACATCTTAATTTTTGCTCTCAGGAAAATCGTCCAAGGCGAAGAATTGACTTACGACTATAAATTCCCACTAGAAGACGAAAAGATCTCTTGTCACTGCTTGTCGAGAAAATGTCGTAAATACCTCAACTAAGATCGAGGACGCAAGGGCGTACTACACAAACTACTTGTTATCTCGTTAATTATCTCTCGTATTTTTTAGAAGTAAGGTACAACAGTATCAATTCTGTGATATTATTTTCTCTTCTCGAAAGAGAATTACCGTTGAGTTCTAGTTTTAGATTTTTAAGGGTTAGTATAAACTAGCATGTGGGACTAGTGGAAAAAATAATAGTTCCAGCTAAGATAATAATTATGATACGTTACATGAAGTAACAAGGAATCTAATGATCTTCAAATTTAGTATAAACTTACAATTACTAAAAAGAAGTTTTCTCGTAAAATCCCATTTTCTTGGCAAATAATTTCATAATTAATATTGATATACGTTTTACATGTTTTTGGTACCGTATGTACATCTTGCTAGTATATTTTATAAGTAACTGTACAAAGTTGATTTAGAAATGTATATATTTTGCCTTCTTTATATATCTTTATCAATGTTTTCTTTTTGTTTGAATATTCATTTTACTCTCCTGCACAAATATTTGTTCATATTCATATATATGTACATTTGTAAATATTGTTTCAATTCACTTCATTAAGCAATTTTGACTTGTTTACTGTCAGTTAATACATTTTTCGTGCAAACTTTCATTAGTGTATTGTAATTTAATTTATTATGGCATTATATACTTGCTCTTTAGATATTCTTTGTGTGTATTCAAACTATTTGTTGTGTCGTTTCTTACAAATTTCAAACCATAAGAAAAGGTATTGTTAGTGTTATGTCTAAACTTATATATTTTTCTAAATGGAAATGTTTGTCGAAAACCAAAGTACTATCTGTCAAAAAATCCAAAACTATCCATGTTTTATAGATTAGAATATTAAAAAGATTTTAATAATGTTACAAATAATATTAAGGTTGAACATGATTTTCAAAGTAAATGTGTTTATTAGAATACCTTATCTAAGATAACACTCTATTGGACCAGCAACAAAGTTATTGTAACAATTTTTAAACAGATGTATATCTATTTTTTATAGGTATGCGAGGTTAAGCTATTTGTTTGAAAAAAGTTCTTTTAGAAAGATTTTCTCTTTTAATCTTTTGATTTATAACTTTTAGGAGACATCTTTTACATTGTAAATTAATTAGAAACTTATATTAGTGAATATTCTAGCTTTGACTATTGATACACCAATAGTCGATGATTGTAGTTAGTTTTATGACCCTAGATGGCATTCCTCGAGTGATTTTCTAATGGCTTGGATATACCGGTATTCAAATAATTTTAAGTTTCATTTTCACTTTTGGAAACACGTTATCGTTTTCTTGCTTCTCTGTTTTTTGTTTTTTTATGTTTTTTGTAACTAACACGATAAAACATTTGCCCTGTTGATTCTTTGAAAGTATTTAAAAAATACTTGCACACCAAAATACAGTGTGCATGGTTAGTTGGTTATTTTACAACATTTTCTTTTTTAATTTTTTTATATTTTTACTTATAACAAAAAAACTAAATCCAATATCTAGTGCCTTAAAATCAATAGTAAAACTACTTATTCATTCAAACACACATTTTATTTTCAAAATCCTTGTAACTTATTTAGACAAATGTTGAAGGTGTTAATTTTTACACTTACTTGACACATTGGCTTCGGAACTTGCTGTGGTGCAGATGTACTTATCAGAAGGCGGCCAGATCGAGCCTGGTAAAAGTCAGTAGCTTTTTGATGGTTTAAAACTAGACCCATCTGTCCTTGGTCGTTGTGTTTTTAATAACATAGTTCTGAATAAAGAACCAGTTGCTTACTCAGTACAAAACTGTCATGTCATTTAATCTTCACTCATATTCGCTTTAAAATACACACGGTAATGTGTTGGTTGTATAGGTCCCATCCAACTACGTAGAACTACAATTATCTGAATCAATTGAGACCATACCATATTTGGATAGTCAAAAATGTGGTTACCTAATTGGATTTGTAGAGATATTCGAGGTATTTTGTTGAAAATAGGCTGAGTTTTCACTTCCACGATTATAGGATGCGTCTGCATATATTTTGTGATAGAAAAGTTGACAGTTGGTCGTGGAGGACGATTATAATTTTCCGTCACTGTGGGAGACGTTGTCAATGAATAAAAGACCGCAGAATATGTTCTAGATTTTGCCGCAATCATGGTTAACAATGATGATGTTACTGTGACAGTAATTATGTATACACTTCCGTGGGAGATGTTTAGGATTTTGCCGCAATTATGGCTTCTTTCTTTTTTAACGATTCTTATTACTGTAGTTTTAGATTTTTTAAACTCTTTCTGTTAGCGATTCGGGTAGTAAAGTGGTTAGTAAGTTTGAGTCGGATACTTGGATTTATACTGTATTATGAACCAATTTAAACATTAGATAAAACTGAGCCTGCAATCCTTAGCCAATGTGTTAAGCTAAATCAATCGATTAACCATATTTAGAACTATAAATATCAATCCAATCACAATATGGATTTTACTATTCTGGTCATATAAAGTTTGCATTTCACTGTTTATTTTCCATCATAATAATTCACCCATAGTTACTTTGTATAAAGTTTGTTGAAGTTTTGTAAAAATAGTTAAATCTGTAATTTGTATGTAATATTTTTGTAAATGTAAACTAATATTGTATATTGTAAATACAGTACAAGTAGCACGTTTTGCTGAAGTTGATCCATTTTATAGTAGGTTGTGTGAAACCCTAATTCCAAAATCACTTAATTGAGGAATATAGTACCTTAAATGGCATTTTCAGTTTGTGGAAGAACAAATTAGGCTATTTGTTTGTGCCATGAATTTGTTTTTGTTTTTATATTATCTAACAGTTAACAGTAAGAGTGGGTACATCTTACCTTTTGTATGCTTCTATAATCTTGCATTTTAATCGAGATTACTTTTGTGTTTAGGTAAGTAATATTTTAGTGAAACATGTGTGAACACACTAATTTTTTTCTAAAATTACGTTCCCATAAGTCATGAATGATAGTCACTAGTTTGAGTTTCCCTTTATAGTAATGAATAGGAGCACATTTTTAAAATCAGCAAACTGATTTGGTAAACGGTAATTGAAAATAATTTGACCTACCTTTTTTTAAATTGGTTGGGCAAGAATAAAAAATATCAAAATATAACTAAGCAATAATAAAACGGACCATTAAACACAAAATTGGTGAACTAGGGAAGCACACACAAGGTAAGAAATGCCTAAGAAGAAGAAGCATAATAAAACAAAATGTTAAATGTTGTACAGCCCAAATTCTTGAATTTAATTTACTTTTCAATAAATTTCTCGATGGGTCTTGCATGAGTACGGATTCTTGATTAGAGATATCTTTAACTGTACATTCAGAATTTATATAAAATGGTTCTTTGTTAAAAAGAGGCTGTGAAACAGGAGGAGGTGCTTTTACATCGCACTTGGCAATCATGTGATTAAACACAATAATGTTTGAATTATTGTATCGTAGCGATTCCCTATGAACAAAAGGATCGAATGTATGTGTGCCTCATATTGTCTAGTTGTTAGGAAAGTATCACAGGAGTAAACTTGGCTAAAAAATTCTGCTTTTTTGGTCTATTCAGCTAAGTCAAAGATGACTATTGTGTACCAACGCTAGTAATAGGCTCAGCTACGTGCTGAAGATTTAATTTCTTCAAATTACTCATACAAAATTGAGATATTTCAAATTGAAGTAGAAGGTGCTAAAAATATTGTTTTATCATTAACACTTGAGAATTTTGATTGAGCTATACTTGTCTTGAGTAGTTGCAGTTCTATCAAGATCTATTTCTAAGATTCATCAAGATTTATTTCTAATTGTTAAATCTCAGTATGTTTTGAGTTTGTTATCCATAAAAATGGTTCCAATTAGGGATAAACAAATACAAATAAAATATTTGAAAATTTCTGTATAAAAAGGACTAACTTATCTGGAAAGCAGCAATAAAAGAAAATCAGGTTTCAGAGCTGAAAATCCCGTTTTAATCCTGCGCATAGTCTAAAAATCCCACACATGGAAATGCTGGTCCAAGGTGCTTTAGCCAAATGTGTCGGTTTGTTGTGACCACACCTAAAAAATACTATTTATTAATAAAATCATACACGTTCCATTTAAAAGAATCACAACTAATATGGTTCTTGAGCTATTGATTTGTCATATTTTCTAAAAACCCAACTGTAGTGTTTTAATATTGTAAGAGCCTCAAGGAAAAGGTAGTTAATTATTTGACTAGACCAATAATTTTTAAGTAACCTGACAAATATGTAAATTTAAAATCAATAATAACGTGCTTAAAGTGTGTCATTCACAACATTTCCATTAACCATCAAAGTAATATTTGACAGCAATTGAAAAAATAATCTATTTTGTTCCAATTAATACTGTTATCTTTGTATTACAACAGTTTCCCCTTTTTGCGTTAGACAAAACATAAATGTGATAATCAAGTGCCCCTCTATCCAACTTTTTCAAAGCGGAGGCTGGGGTGATACGGAATCGCCCCTGAGTAAAGAGGAGGGTCCAAGGGTTCCTCAGTTCAAAATGGTACGCCCCCCCCCCCCTAGACCATGCCCATGCTCCCTACAATTATTATAAACTACTTAATTTTACACTTTACCAAAAGTAAAATGTTTTACCCAATTTCTTCAAATATAATGTCTTTTCTCTTAATGCATTTAAATATTGACCAATGTATTATTTAATTATTTATTAATAAATAGACAGTAACTAAGGGTTTGTACTAATATTTTCTCTTAAAATGATAACTTTTATTGCAAAATTATTTTATTTAAATTCAATGTGAGAGTCTGGTTAAGCAAAGCAATAGTGATACACCTAACTACTTGACAATAATTTTCATAAAAAGTGTAAAGATGTGTTTTTCCTTTAAGTAGGTTTAGTTAATAATACCTGGGCCACGGAGATCAGATAGCAAAGTCTGTGTTTTCAATTATCACCTGAATAGTGACTTCAGTGACATCACTAGTTGCAGATTTATTTTTTCATTGGGATTAAACAAGGGAGTTAGATTCATAGTTTTTGTTCTTTGGGATATATTTTTTAGCTTATTTTCACTTTTTTACATAAAACCACATTGTATGGCTCTGTAGAGTACATTTTAAAATGATTTAAGTTGAATTCACAGTCACAACCTAAAATCTAAATGAGAGACAAAATGTAAACAGATTTTAATTCATATACTTCTTCACTATTAGCTGATTAAAAACCTGGTTTTATCATTCTGTTCTCCGGGCCCTGTTTAACATTTCTATGTAGTCAGTCACCGTCAAAATGTTTTATTCCACCAGCTGTTAAATGTGGCATTTTCTTTCTCAAATGCTTGGTAAAACTTTTTCGATACTTTGTAAATAACTGTTTGAATTTATATAAACTACAATAAAGTGTATTTTATATAAATATTTGCATTTATTACTTTTCCTTTAGAATATTATCTACGTGTATTAGAAACTATAGATGGCTTGTACAATTTTTGATAAATTTTTTTTATAATCTCTAAGCTATGAATACTGTAAAAAGACATTGTATCTGATGCACAAAATAGTATAATAATATTTTTTCACTCTGCGATTAAAAATTGGCATTTCTTATTCTTGACGTTTTCTCAGTTTTCTTAGTTGTTTTAGCTTCGCTGTCAAATTGGCATTGAATTAAAACAAGGTTAAATAACCAATAAATCAATTACCTCCACAGAAAAACCATCAGATTTTTTACCCTGGTACATAAAAGAATATTCTCGAGGTATTATTGATCCAACAGCGAGTGTTATCCGAGCGATAAAAATATGTTTATGTAAGTGCACCATTAAAGTTGTCTCATGTCTGTCAAACAAATTAATTGGTCCAACTCAGTAGTTAAGCAAGGTAATTGAGCAAATCAGCAGGTGTTGGAATTGGTGGGTATGTGAACAGCTGATGATGTGCTGGGCTTGGATGTGTAGTTACCTAATGTCAGAAAAGTTTCCAAGGTTTGTATAGACAGTATGAATCTTGGTTTTATTGTGTATCTAATTTTAGTCAGAGTTCAGACGAATGGATCAAACCTATTAGTTAAATCAGTGCATAAAAATAGTAAAACTAGTTCTGACACTCGCAATGCTCTAGCTGAAATGGTAAGTAACTGTTAAATACAACATAAACTAAATGCACACTCATTGTACTTAAAATATGGTTTTACACCAGCAACTTTTAAAATCTCCTTGGCCTTGAAAGAAATTAAGAGTACAATTTTTATAAATTTAAATTCTGATACCGTACCAAGATAATGCAATTCCTCCCGAGGCAAACTATGCGATTTTCTATTTACCTGGCTGGATTTATACTAAAATAAAGTGTCAGATTTATTTCCTATTCAAATAACATTAATTTTAATGAGTACTTAGGTTTGCTGCTACAGAGAATGTATTGAGGTGTGTTTTTTTATGGAAATTTTGATAGCTTAGTATAAAATAAATATAATGACAAAATTTCATTAAACAAGCAAACTACAACAGTTGATTTATTCATTTATTCTCCATAAGAATAACGTGGGAATTTTTGATTTAATTTTTTTTATTATCTCCGTAACCATTAGGCATACAACAACCCATCCAATATACAAAATTATATTTAATTTTCACATATTATTTAAATTAAATAATTTTAATTAAAATACGTGAGCTTGCCTAATACAAAAGTTTACTTTATTGAAATTATTTCATTCTTTTAGAGCGTTTGAAGTCGGTTGTATTTTTTTACTAAAATAAATTATTTAAGACAAAATGATTGAAAGGAAATTGTGAAATTTTGGTTTTTAGGGTAAAAATGGGAAAACCCAATTTTTACCCCATAAAACCCCCCAAACCCCTGTTTCCATAGTCCAATCATGCTAGTTCACCGATGAGCCACATAACACATAGTATGAAACATAACCGAGGAAAATGTTATGCTTAAATTTGAGTACCGGTAATTCTAGTTAGGTACATCAGAGTTGTTTGTAAACTTGCGTTTGGAAACTAAATATCTCTATTTGTTTTTCCAACATTTAGAATTGAAGAAAACAGTTGCCTTACTGCGATAACCTGTGTTAAGTAATTTAAGTTGGGTAATTTTATTTCTTTGATTAAAGACATCCCCCTAATCAAACGATTTTTTTCCGTAGAATGTCCTGGAAATGGGGTGATATCAACCATTTCATGTGCTGTGCTCCATGTTTTACACACAAACTCCGGTTTACCAACTGGACAGCCATAATCTGCTTTGAAAAGGCTAAAAGCAGCAACACCGTTGAAAGTTGGTTAACAACGTGTTGTGGTCAGTCACAGTGCCCCGCATCAGATCGTTCTTTACGTTGTTCAGTGGAGTTTCTTATAACACCAGTGCCACACTTTTGAAAGTATGGATTCATTGTTGAAATAGGTTGGAAAACTCTTTTAGTTTCCCATCCTACCTTAATTTTCTCTGTTTTCATTTTCTTTTTTTGTTGTTTCCCACCCAACATTAGTACCGTCGTTGTAAAATAACGAAATGTGTTTATACAACGATATATGACAATATATATGACGATATATGAAATGATATATTACGAAATGAGCTATGAAGTAATATCAGTTTTAAAATAAAATAACACGTGGTGTCATATAACTGGACAAGAGCACGGATTTAATGAATTCGTAGGACCATAGATAAAACATACGTAGGACGAATCAGATTTGTGTTTTGAAGTGATGCAGGACTGCAACTTTATAGGTCCTTGGACCAGTGTTGAGCTTGTTAAACTTTGGTGGTTTTGACTTAGTTTGACAGCAACAGCAAAAAAAGAGCATCCAACAACAGTTTTTACTGTTTTAGTGTTTTGTTCTGTTCTGTTTCTGTAATCTGTTTGTTTGCTGCTGTCGTATCCAAAGGGTTGTCAAGTTCGTGTGTTTATTTAGTTAGTGTTTATGTCGGTTAGAGGTTAACGCCGCATTTGTAATTCGTTTGTTAATATTCTAATTATATTCGGTGGATAAATAGAACACATTTCAAGTTCCATGGCACACTGGACTTTATTAAATAATGATTTTAGAATAGTTTTGTTTATTGTGTATTTTTGTTTGGTGAAAGCGTTCTTTGAAAAGGAGGCCAAGAGAGGAGACCTATGTTTCTGCCAGGTGAAGTTTTCTTTATTTGTTAATTCATGGTTTATAATGGTGTGTAATAAACTACTTTATTTGCATGATTAGACCACCTAGCGACTAGCGACATACAATACCGCTATGCTTTGGAATTAAGGTACTCTCCCAAATTGTAACTGGAATTTTATAAAATAGGCCCAAAGTTACCTCCCACGACCTCCCTAACAAATAAATGATTTGAATGCTCTTATAGCCTAACTTATAACTAATAAAAATTGACACAAATGTAGGCCTACATTATGCAAAGTAAGTTAAGTGCAATTTATTTGTAAGTTGTTGCAACTTCTAAGTGAAATAGAGGGATATGCCTTTATATTTTCTGTCCCTGAGGAATTCAACATTTAAGGTTGATTCCCACATACCTGTTCCGGCACAGACCAGTTACAGTTAAGTCTCAGTTGCATCCGCAATTTCTCTATCAACTGTCAGTAATTTGGTTTCAGTCAATCTCCCGTCACTTTATTTAGGTACACTTCCATATCTGTTGGCACAAACTTAATTGATGTAGGACTTAAACATCAAACACTGTAAATAAAGGGGTACACTTTCATATCTGTTGGCACAAACAACCGAATGAGTAGGGTAATATCGATTATTCGATTGAATAATTTGATATATCGTTTGGTTAATAGTTTATAGTTTGATATATTGTTTGTGCCAACAGATATGGAAGTGTACGTCTAGTTTAAGTCCTACATATACTCACAGAACAGTTATATATTATATACTTAGAACAGTTTCATTTTATAATCAGGGGCCCATTTCATAATAAAGTACAAACTAATATTATTAGTAAATCAGCTGATCGCCCAATGCAAATCTAATGGAAATTACAAGTTACAAGTTGTAACTTGTAGTTTATTATGAAATGGGCCCCAGCTGGTAATTAAATGTATAATGTATTTAAAATAGTAAATTTAGGACATAAAAACTAAAGTTCAACCTTTAACTTAATAAAACACAATATTCTATCAAATTTTCATCTTCCATCTTGTTGATTGTTAATTAATACCGTAATTAAAATAGGTACACGTAGCCTACCTACAAAAATCACTCTTTTCTAACCTCAAACACGTCTGTCAGGCATCCGAACAAATCAAAAATATCAGTGAGAAGAAATATAAAATTGATTGACGGACGCTGGCAGAGCGACTGATGGAACTGCGTCGGATGAGTGTAGATAGCGCAGTAGAAATCTAGACTATTAAAGAATAGTTTTTTTATTACTGTTCTGTGACATGCCGGAATATGTGTGAATTGACATTTAACCTGCCAAGCCAAGCATGTTCTAAAATCAAGAAGTAAATATGAAACTGTTGTGCTAAGTTACGGTAAAGCTTTTGATTTATTGCCATATGCCCAATTAACAAATTGACAGTTTTATTTTATCTAACTTGAGGCAATTTCTTTGGCCTTATTATTGAAAAATCATACCTAAAATACAACCTACTTCCAAAGTCTAACATTCAAGCCATAAGTAAGTTAAGCCTTGCAGCATAAGTAGGCTTACAACACAAATATGCATTTTTTACATTTTTTGCTACACAATAAGTTATAAAGTTTACCGTACCAAATAATATTTAATTTGATTTTTACTATTACCGTACCGGTATTTTGCAGTTTACACATAGGCTACTGTAAAGAGGCCTTATTAACTAATCTGAATACACTTAAATACTGACTTTCTTATTTAATCTTGGAATAATAAGTTCCCTAATTTATGAAGTCTTTCAATGATGTGTCATTATTGAGTGGTACATTACCATCAAGGTGATTCATTCACTGTTGACTCGTTTATCATTTTGGGATGTCTCATATGAGGTAGACAATGCCATTGTACAACTAAAAGTTTTGAACTGTGTATTCACAGGATTGATTGAATTTAGCATTAGGGCCTCTGTAGGCTAGTAAACTTATTAGTGATTAGGCCTTAACTGACCTTGAGGGCCAAAAGGGTTCGATAAGTTACTACAATATTTATTGTAATTTATTTTGAAATTATTCATATGTACAGTATCAATGTCTTTTGTGACCTGAGCAAAGCGTTTGATTGTGTTGATTTTAAAATTCTTATAAACAAATTACAAAATTATGGGTTTCGAGGGCCGTCTCTACAATTCTTTTCATCTTACCTAAACAATCGTAAACAAATAGTAAGTATTAATGGCAATACGTCACAAGAAAAGAATGTAAAATGGGGCGTTCCCCAAGGCTCAGTCCTTGGTCCACTTTTATTTTTAATTTATTTTAATGACCTTCCATTGGCAGTAAAGAGTCAAACTATTCTTTATGCTGACGATACAACATTTTTTCATGTAAACCCCAACATAACTGAACTAAAAAATCTTGTCCATGAAACAAAGCTAAAAGCATCAAATTGGTTTAATGCGAATGGATTTTTGCTTAATGAAGAAAAAACCCAAAACATGATTTTTACACTAAAACAAATCCCCACGATGAGTGATCTAAATAATAGCACAGCTGTAAAATTTTTGGGCCTTCAAATTGATAATCAACTTACATGGAATGCTCACATAGATTATTTATCTTCAAGATTGTCTCGTGTGGTGCATCTTTAAGATCGTCTGGTAAATCAGGTTCCTAAGAAATATGTAAGGACGGCCTATTTTGCGTACTTCCAGTCAATCATGAGATACGGATTGGTGCTTTGGGGTGGTAGTGGTAGAATAAAAGAAATTTTGACTCTCCAAAAGAGGGCTTTAAGAGCTATGACAGGGACGCACCCTGATCATTGCAAACCTCTTTTAATAGATCTGCAAATTCAAACTGCAGTAAATTTGTTTATTTATGATCTGATTGTTTATATATTAAAAAACCCTGAATATCTTCAATTTAATAATCACAGTCACAACACTCGTTTTAAAAATACTGCGCTGTTAGAATCCCATCGTCTTAGTAAAACTAGTAATTGCCACATAATTTTATCAATTAAAGTGTATAATTCAGTAAAAAATAATATAAATTTTCATTCAATTAACAAATTTAAGGCTATGTTTTATAATTATCTACTTCAGAACCCCTTTTTATAGTCTGGATGATTATTTTAAACTGGGAGAAATTGTCCTTTAGTTTGGTTTTAATTTCAGTTAAGAATGTGAATGGAGTTGAATGTTAATTGTAATATTTGGCCTGTAAGAGTATTTTGTTGTTTATTTTAAGACTTGGTTTGAAAACTGCAAATAGACTTTGTCAATGATATGTAAATGTATCCTTATGGCAAATAAAGATTGATTGATTGATTGATTGATTGATTGATTGTAATACGGTACCATATCCTAGTCTTTGAAGTAACTTATATTTATTTTTCCTGTTCATGCATGTATTTATTGTGAAGTGAGAGTCGTAATCTGCAATCTTTATCTATTCCAAGTTTTCTCGTAAATGCTATCTTGGGCCCATGCATTATAATCCTAGTTTTATTTTGTATGTGTAAACCATCCTTGCATTGCATGTTGTATGATTTGTAAATTGGCTACTTGCCGTTGAAATAAATAAATAAAAACATTATGCCCTTAAACCTGTTATTATTCTTACACATTGCAGAGTGAATTTAAAATAGGTACTGAACTGAATACCTCTTAACCAAAATAGGGCGTAGGTTGTTTAGGATAGGCCTATTCCACATTTTTGGACAAAAACCGGGTCTCCAGCTGAATTGACTATATGCGACCAAATGAACGCTTGTGCAAGTAGCGTTCTGTTGAAGTTACAAAATCCTCTTGTCATAGGCCTAAGGTTCACTTTCATTTTCTTGTAACATTAACGTAATTCATTAACATTCTTAATTTTTAACTGTAACATGTTTGCAGCTCAAAGGTCAAGTCGGGGATTGCAGCTGCTCCGTTGGAACTGTGGACCATTTCAACAATGTCAAAGTCTACCCAAGATTGGCCAGCCTCATTACCAAAGAATACTTCAGATTTTATAAGGTATGTTTTTTACTCCAAATTAAGGAAACTCAATTCGTAGACGTACCAGTAAAAAGCCCAATCTTAATTTAAAACCATTTTGTTTGATCGTGGTATTGGAAATCATATGTAAAAAGCTATACATTTTAAAAAAACTGTATCTTGCTCAGGAATAAAATTGAGGTAGGCAGTTCATAATCTTATAAAGACTAGGACCGTGGCATCGTCCTGTAATCCAGCTACTTGGAGGTCATGAATTGTGGATATTTATAGGCATGAACAGTGGATGCTCACTGGTGTGGATTAACGTCCACACTACTGAGTACTACGACTATCTGCAGTACTATCCTGATTACACCAATTCGTTAATTACAAACACAGAGAAGTAAAATATAGAGGAAACATTCAATGGTACACTTAAGTCGTGTCTAGCACCAGTCGCTTGTGTCTAGTTCAAATTCTATTGGTCGTTCCCTACCGCTCTCCTCTCACGCCTCACCTTATATACTATAGCGCTCACGCTGTAGGAAGAGCCTGTGTAGTACAACAGCTGTTGTAAACAACAGCTGTTGGGGCTCTTCCTGAGCATTGTATGGGTAGACACGTTATTGTGAGGATAGAGGAAGTACTATTGAAACAGAAAGTAAAAAGGCTACAATTTTATCAAGCTTTCAAATACAACTCATCTCTATCTCGGGTCAAACTCATCTGCTGGACTAACGTGAAAGACTCATTCAGTGTAAAAAGTTCTTGGACCAATGCCAAATCATCAGGGTTTTACTTTATATTTTGATTTATCCAAGATTCTACTTACTTGTGAACTTATTACATAGGCCTAGGTAATAATATCATTATGCATGTGTGTTCAGAGCTAATTTTGGGTGGTGTGAAGCCCAGTGCTAACTTCTGAGCTGGACCCTTATGTACTACCGGTACCAAAATAGTAGCATTTAAACAATATTAACTAAAACAAATCTCATTGTATCCCCTCTTTTTCTTTTTTGTTATAATTGAAGGAGTTAACGTAAATCACAGTCTTTTTGCAATTTTTAGTATTTTGCACCAAGAGCACTTTTAAAGGTGCGGGGGCTTTGTACCTTTTGCACGTGCCAAAGGCCGTCTATGTTAATGTGTAGAAGACTAACTTTCTAAACAGTTCAAACATAGATATTTAATATTTAATTTTAAATGCTTGCCTACAGTACAAGAACTAACCAGGTTTTGAAATGTTGATTGTGATTTAAGGTTAATTTGAAGAAAGATTGTCCATTTTGGTCGGACAACAGTAGATGTGCAATGAGATACTGCAGTGTGGAGCATTGTCTGGATGTAAGTAGTTTGTCTGGTTTTATAAATATATATTCATAATCTTTGAATATTGATACAACTATACAATTCATTCCCATGCCAAAGTTGTTTAAGTGTTACAATAAAAATCCTCGTAGTTGTTGTGAGCCAGACAGATCGTACTGATCTAAAATACTTATTGCTGTCGAACACACAAACATTTTTGCCAAGTCAAACTAATGGAATGACTTATAGTGAGCTATAGGTAACTCTGTTATGACCCATAACTTTGGTCAGCCACAAAAAAGGGTATAAAATAGAATTTTAAACACTAGTGTGAACTTAGCGTTCTCACTCAAGCATGTTTTTTAAATAAAAATATGGTGACAGCTGGTCTATAAAGATGAGATGTCTTTTGTATCCAATAGTCAGTGGTTCAATACAGGGTTCATAAAAAACAATTACAGTAGAGAGTCGAAAATCCGAACGTCAAAAATCCGAAACGTCAAAAATCCGAACCACTCCTGAGGGTTTAAAAATATTTAATTAGCACAGAGACAACAGATGTTTTACAATTTTGCGGGCCAAACAGTCAGCGCCTGGCAGGGAAATGAGAAAATCCGAACAAATCGGTAATCTGAACTACCTACGGTCCCAATTGGTTCGGATTTTTGACTCTCTACTGTAATAGGGTTAGCTGATTGAGCAATCTTGAAGACTCCTTATAAACGTTTGAATGAACAATGAGCTATACTGTACTTAGTAGGGTAGTTATAAATGAACTTTTTAAGTCCACTAGCAGCATTGACCATTGCCCAAAATGGAATATTTTGGGGGGCAACCCCTGTTTTTTTTTTTTAAACAAAATAGCAGCCATTTCACATTTTTAAATCTTTTAAGTTACTTGCATTGTTTGTCTGCAGGTTTTCTGTGACAGGTTAATAATCTTAAGACAAATAGTATGCTTTGTTAATTTAAAACTATTTTATTTTCAGGATGCTCCCCCGCTTATAAAAAGTTACTCGTCCAGAAAGAATCAAGTTGAAGACATGAGTGTAAAGGTAAGAGTATAACTGTTTGTTTATAAACCGAATAAAGAGGATTATGCTTTCTTTTATTTTTAAATAACACTGATGGCTAAAACCACATTATAAAATTATGATACTATAATAATTGTTAAGATATTTGATCTCACCTCTGTAGTCCAATCAACCATCAACCAAAGGATTACATATTTATAATGGATATTGTGTATAAAAGAAAAGGCTATGAATAAATTGAAACTGGAAAAAATATTTCATCAATATCAGTAAAGAGAAAGTTTAGAGGTGAAATTATTTGACATTCTTTGCTTGGAAGTTGGATTGAATATTTCTGACCATCAATATTTTTAAGTCACAAACCTCTCCATATTAACTTAAATTCTGTGATTTAAATAAGGAAATTTTCCTGTTTTAAAATAGTTTAAACAAATTGTGTGTTGTTACTTAAATCGTCAACTTAAATTGTTGGTGGGTAGGCGATTGTCCGCTCCTAGTCTTAAAACCATTACGACGAGGAGCTGACATTGGCTTGGGGTCTTAAGGCATAATATACTCAAAAAAAAATTTGATTGAAGATGTAAGTACGGTAATTGCAATATTTCATCATTCAATTTGTGCTACAAATCTTGCAAAATAAACAAATTAGTTGGACTATTTTTATTTTTGTTACTTTTCATTTTCATGAGATTCTAACAATAGCCTTTACATACTAACGTTCAACACTTAATTATTTGCTTGTTTCAGTTTATAATGTGTTGTTTTAGTATTTGGAGCCGTACGCTCAAGGAGAGTGTGATTCCGACTTGAATGCAGAGCTAGGTTACCTCAACACAACAATAAGGTTTGTGCTTAAGATTGTAACGTTAGCATGGTGTCTACTCTCCGGGAAATTCGGGAAAACCGGGAAAACTCCGGGAATTTTTTCTAACCTTGAAATGTCCTGGAAAACTCCAGGAATCCACCCAAACCTCCGGGAATCCGGAGCCTGGTCATCAGAATTGTCGGCTAACAGAAACACTACCGCTTTTGTTGCCGAAATTGAAACGAGCATTGGAAGCATCGGAAACGATTATCGGTGTCGCCGAAACCGCAGGATATGCTCACGGGTATTGCCGCGATCGCGGGAGACGATTATCGGTGTCGCCGAAACCGCAGGATATGCTCGCGGGTATTGCCGCGATCGCGGGAGACGATTATCGGTGTCGCTGAAACCTCGAGATAAGCCTACGGGTGTTGCCGCGATCGCGGGAGACGATTATCGGTGTCGCCGAAACCGCAGGATATGCTCGCGGGTATTGCCGCGATCGCGGGAGACAATTATTGGTGTCGCCGAAACCGCAGGATATGCTCGCGGATATTGCCGCGATCGCGGGAGACGATTATCGGTGTCGCCGAAACCGCAGGATATGCTCGCGGGTATTGCCGCGATCGCGGGAGACGATTATCGGTGTCGCCGAAACCGGAGGATATGCTTACGGGTATTGCCGCGATCGTGGGAGACGATTATCGGTGTCGCCGAAACCGCTGGATATGCTCACGGGCATTGCCGCGATCGCGGGAGACGATTATCGGTGTCGCCGAAACCTCGAGATAAGCCTACGGGTGTTGCCGCGATCGCGGGAGACGATTATCGGTGTCGCCGAAACCGCAACATATGCTCACGGGTATTGCCACGATCGCGGGAGACGATTATCGGTGTCGTCAAAACCGCAACATATGCTCACGGGTATTGCCGCGATCGCGGGAGACGATTATCGGTGTCGCCGAAACCGCGAGATATGCCTACGGGTGTTGCCGCGATCGCGGGAGACGATTATCAGTGTCGCCGAAACCGCTGGATATGCTTACGGGTATTGTCGCGATCGTGGGAGACGATTATCGGTGTCGCCGAAACCGCAGGATATGCTTACGGGTATTGCCGCGATCGCGGGAGACGATTACTGGTGTCGCCCAAACCGCAAAATATGCACACAGGTGTGGCCGCGATCGCGGGAAACGATTCTTGGTGTCGCTGAAATCATAAAATATGCGAACCTGTTTTGCCGCGATTGGTTGCAGGTTTTGACGAGACTGTAAGATATGCTCACCGGTATTCCCACGATCGCGGGAGATGATAACTGTTGTCGCCTTACCTACCAGTTATACTGTTTTATTATGTTGTATAAAATATCATTCTTTGGAAAAGTTTTGTTTCAAATAAAAATAATTAATAATTATTAGCGGGTTGCAATTAGTTGAGCGGGTTGCGATTAGTTGAGCGGGTTCCGATAAAAGCTCTTAAAATTCAGGAATTTGTCTTGAATTCTCCTGGAAAACTCCTTGAATTTTTCAAACCAGGTTTAGTAGACACGATGCTATTCCAGACACGGCTAGATTTAGGCCTACCTTGGTCTAAGCGGACTTGTGGAACCCCCCCCCTTGAGTCTGAGGGACTTCGCTTCAAACCGATAAGTGATAACTTGTAGTAACTTGCCATTAGAGTAACCTCACTTTAGATAATTAAGTTGTTTGGATATATTACTTGTCTCAAAAAGGGTCCATTTATTTAGATTAATAACTTGTTTACATTATCTGATTTTTGCCAAAGTGCCTTAACCATTGAGATTTTGTATAGATTTGTATTGTATCTTTGTTGTCAACGTCATTATTCTGATTTCGAGTACCAACATTTGTTTGCTATTAACTCTTGTACCTTGTTTGAACTTTCAAAAGTGCCTTAAACACAATCATTGATTAAAGTTAATTGTATTCTTTCAGAAATATCATTCTTTTTATTGATCTCCTTAAACTTGTCTAGGTTAGTGGACAATCAAACAACAGATTGCAAGTGTGGCTTAGGCCAATTCTTTTCAGTACAGTTAAACAGATTTTGCCTAAATTTGAGAGGTATTAACCTTGCTTGGTTGGATAATTTCCTTCTGGTATCTTATTATCTTAGTCTTAAGTCAGTTGGTACATATTTATTTGAATAATATTGGGTAATGTATATTTGCATAATGTATATTTGCATAATTGTTTGAGATTGATCAGGTAGACTTACTAAATACAGTAGGGTATTGATGTTACGGCATCAGACATGAAAATCGGGTTAGGTAAAGTTTAACTCTCTGCCTTACTACCATAGCAACCACGAGAAGAGTTTTTCTCTCCGTTGTAAACTCTCATGAGAGATCTCCAAACGGAGTGGCGCCCTCTAAACCGAGCTAGTACCAATAGACCCGGTTGCTATAGAAGTAAAAGGTTAAAAGGAAGATATTTGTTAGTGAACCCGACCCATCTCCCTGAGCAAAGCCCGGCACAGCAGTTTGTGAGGCTGCAACTTCCCGCTCCTGCTCTTGTGATGTATGTTCTCACGCTGTCCCACCATCTTTTTTTAGGCCTTCCTGGTTGTCTTCTCCCGCTCGGGAAGAACTGCTAGTTACTTAATAAATAGATGCTCTTTCGTACAAAAAATTTAATTTTCAATATTTACAATTTTGACAATCAGCATTCATGTGTTATTAAATAATGTGTGTAGATGATATATTCTCCATTTATACATTTATTTGGGCGTCATCTCTTGTTTTCTTATAAGTTCGTAAATCTGAAACAGATGGTTCCCAAACATTAGAGTATTTATTAATTGTTTTTATTGTAAAAATGCTAGGTCTCTGCTTTTGAAAATTATTAAAAAAATTTGGATTTCTTTTTTTGCATTTTTTCACATTTTGCAAAAAAGAAACAGGAGGGATTCCTGAAATTTTATTTTATTCTAAATCTGCTTTCTTTTCTGAACAAAAAAAAGTATGAATATGACTAGGTTATCAACAGTACTTTAGGCACTGCGAACTTTTAAAAAACCTCTGCAAAATGGCCAAAATTGCCAGGGCACCGGGCATTTCTGTGTACAATATAGTATTGGCTGCTCATCAGGGGTGCCCATCCCCCCCAAAGCTCACGTCGCAGAATCCCCCCCAAATTCGTTGTTAACCTATGCCGGAAGGAAGGTCTGGGGGTTAACCCATAGTTATGTTTATAATGCGGGGAGGGAAGGGGTGCCCCCGACACTTCTTTAAATTTATGGGAATTTAAGCGTTTGAATCAAACTTTTAACCCAATTTAAATGGACAATTTCCCTTTAAAACTCTAGTGGCAAACTATTTGTTAGTTTAGTTTTAATTTAAATGAGTTGGATTTTTTTTAACATGCACACAATTTGAATCAAAATTGGCCATGTAGTTTTTTTATCTGATTTTCCATGAGTTAATACGTTTTAAAAGGGAAAATCACAAAATTTGCAATAACTTTTGAACCATAATTTTTACGGCAAGAGGGTTTATAAAATTTTTGTCATAGTCAAAGAGTATAACATGTTAATTTTTAATCAAAATCGTTCGGGCCAATTCTGAGAAAATTTTATTCATCCATTATTTTATAGGGTTTTATGGAATATCACTATTAAAAATCCAAAATGAAAAAAAAACATCCGGAGAGACCATGGATTGATACCTAAATACCAAATTTCATCAAAATCGGACTCGGACCACAGGCGTGGTCTGTAGCTCTGTACCATACATACACATATACACACATACAGACAGACAAACACATCACTTCGAAAACCACTTTTTTGGGATCAGGGTTTTTACATAAACAATTCTTTTACCATATTAAATTGTAGGGGAGAAAGTACTTGAAGTTATGTCAAAAAGTTTGAGATATTTTCTAAATTGCCCTTTAATCCACTTCTGAGTTTGGTCCTTTTAAATAAGTGTAAAATATTCAGTCTCAAAAATATTACTAGGCCTAAACTTAATAGTATATTTCGTGCCTAGGGCCAAAATGAGGTTTTGCTGGTTCAAGGTAGTTTTTAAGTTCGATACGAGGTCGAGGACTTAAAACGATCGAGAACTGCAAAACCATTTCAGTCCGTGGTACGAACGCTATTATTCACCACCACACACTATACCCTATTACCACTAATTCACCTCAATGATAATGCACTGCACACTGATATAGTCAACACAACTACAACTTTAAGGTCATGTGGATAAATAATTTGAGGAATCAGCAAAAATAATAATAAATAGTTGTTGGCAGCGGTGACAATAAAAAAACTCTATTGCAATACTATGGATACTGATTGTGTATTTAAAGCGGGCAGCTGATTTTGCCCTAGGGATGTAAAAACCTGCTCGATCCCCGAATGACGATGACAGCTGGCATGGCCTGCAAAACGTAACTTTCAGCCACCAATTAATGTACCTATATGTAAAACTGTTAAAAACATCATAGTGTGGTAATAGTATATTACGTTACTAGTCCTAAATCCCGTGCGAGACGAAGTCGAGTAGTGTTTTTTTTTATACGAGTCCGGCCAACACATTTTGGACGAGTGACGTACGATAGTTTACGCCATACTACTAAATCCGTTCAAATCCCTATATTACCACCAACTAAAGGACTAAAAATCACTAGTCATAACCTCTAAGAGGGGTTATGTTTTTGTTATAACCACTCATTGCCACCCAAATACAGTATAATCAGCTGATTGGTGTTCGGCAAAACTCATTACAGTACAGTAGTACTGTATGAAACCCCATTTGATTAAGGACAAACAGCTGTTTTCTGGACTAAATCCTTGCATGGGAAGTTCGTCAAAATAGTGTAGTGTGGCGTAAAAAAATAATTATATATCTATTCTAAGACTAGTAAAATTTGTTTGAAGCTCTTTCTAGATTCAAGAAAAGACAATAACAAATACAGTTTAATTAATCCAGAATCATGTGTTTCAGTTCTTGAAGTTAACGTAAACACATAGCCTATCAAAAACCTTAATTAAATTGTCACAGTACTGTATGT